GAGAGAGAGGGAGAGAGGGGGAGGGGTGTCTCTGGGTAGTGTGCTTAAATTAGTCTCAAGTGCCTTTGATGACTACGGCTCAGAAAGATGGTACCTCTCTTCAGCAAGCTTCACGTGTGGGCTTTTTTGTGTTATGAATGTGTCTATTTGTTACTTTTTGCTCTTGTGACATAGTTTTTATACCATTATATTCCATTATAGAAGAAATTCTCACCAGAGGAGAATAAAATGGTAGTCCTTTTGCTCCTGCCTCCTCCCCCAAACTGGTGGGAAGGGCGGTTGTGTTCACAGCAAAACGTTACATTTGCCGACCTTTCTGTTTCTCTTCAGGTCCACGCTTTCATCATCTCCCAGCTGAAAAAGGAAATGCCGTCGATGTTTGGCAAGGACTCCAAGAAGAAGGAGCTGATCAACAAACTGCCTGAAATCTTTGCCCAGCTGCAGCGGGAGCACCAGATTTCCCCAGGGGACTTCCCCAACTGCAAGCGCATGCAGGAACAGCTACAGCACCAGGACTTCACCAAATTCCACCAGGTAACGTTTCTTTGAAGAGATCAGCAAGAATGCCGCGTCGTAGAACCTGGAGAGTGCGTGGTTGGCGGGTGCTATGATGTGGTTTGCCCCCTTCTTTCCTGTCCAATTCTATAGGATCTCTCCTCCTTCTTTTTTGTGTTTGTTTCTCTCTTGTAATGCCTCTTTTCCTTGGCACTTACATGACCAGTGCGTGGTTGGCGGGTGCTCTGGTGTGGTTTGCTCCTTCTTTCCTATCAAACATCTTATCGTCTCTGTCTCACCTCCTTCTTTTTTGTATTTGTTACTCTCTTGTTGCTTGTAACACCTTATCTTCGGCACTTATATTACCTTATTGTGTTGCAAGTGCGATAAAACTCTTACAAAACTAAAACTAAGAAGAGATCGACGGGAATGCCATGTGGAACCTGGAGAGTGCGTGGTTGGCGGGTGCTCTGATGTGGTTTGCCCCTTTTTTTCCTATCAAGTTCTCGGACCTCTCCTCCTTTTTTGTGTTTGTTTCTCTCTTGAATTGCTTCTTATCTTCGGCACTTATATGACCTAATTGCGTCGCAAGTGTCAAAAAAGTCAAACTAAAACCATACTAAAAAATCTGGAGAAGAGTCTTACAGAATGATGTACATAACATAAGAGTGGGAAGATATGGAATAATATCAAGAGGCTAGACCAGAATAGGGAAATGTGGAAAGTGTTTATTTGTTCGTGGCCTTTACCCTGATCCAGGGCGAGCAAGGCAGGGAACAGTTCTTTGAAGTGGCTCTTTGTTGTGGTTGTCATTGTTGTTGCGGGTGGGTTAGGGCACTGCAGTGAGGTCCTACTGTTCCCCTTTCCTCCTGTTGTTTCTGTCTATTTGTTTTTCCATTTTTCTGCTCTAAATGACTGTTAGTGGGTGGTTGGCGGGTGCTCTTGTGTGGCTTGCTCCTTCTTTCCTATCAAATATCTAACATTCTCATCTCCCATCCTTCTTTTTTTTTTGGTGTTGATTACTCTCTTGTGTAACACCTCTTAGCTTTGGCACTTGTATGACCTTATTGTGTTGCAAGTGCCGTAAAAGACTTACTAAAACTAACTAAATGACTGTTATTGTTTGGGTGGTTGAAGGGCACAACTGGTAGGTCCAACTTCTTTTTCCACCCCCCTCCTATGTTGTTTCTCTCTGTCTATTATGCGTCTTCCCTGCATCATATGATAGTGATATTTATTGTGGTGATGTGCTTCTGTTTACTCAAACTGGCTGTTATTGTGTCTGTGCGCTTCTCTTTATTGTAACTCCTTATGTGGGTGGTTGGCAAGTGCTCTGGTGTGGTTTGCTCCTTCTTTCCTATCTAACATCTATCGTCCTGATCTCTCCTCCTTCTTTTTTATGTTTGTTACTCTCTTTTAACACCTCTAATCTTGGACACTTATATGACCTTATTTTGTTGCAAGTGCCATAAAACTTTTACTAAAACAAACAAACGAACTCCTTATGTTGTTTATTTTGTCATTATTACTGCTTCATATATTGGCCTTGCAAGTTGTTGGAGGGTGCCTCTGGTAGGGCCTACTCATTTTCTTCCCTTCTGTTGTTTCTGCCTGTCTTTCTCGTTTTTTTTCTCCCCTGTATTAAATGTCTGTTATCATGTCAATGGGCCCCCTCTAAACTCAAACTGAAGATGTTGAGTTTTTGGTTGGCGGGTGCTCTGGTGTGGTTTGCTCCTTCTTTCCTATCAAACATCTATCGTCCTTATCTCTCCTCCTTCTTTTTGTGTTTGTTACTCTCTTGTTACAATTCTAATCTTCGGCACTTATATGACATTATTGTGTTGCAAGTGCCGTAAACTCTTACTAACCCCCCCCCCGGGAAGATATTGAGCGAAAGAGATGCTAATGTTTGTTTTTTAAAATGTTTTCCTTTTCTGTAGCTGAAGCCGAACCTGCTGAAGGTGGTGGACTCCATGCTGGCCAACGACATTGCCAAGCTGATGCAGATGATCCCCACGGAGGATATGGAGCGGGCCGAGAGCGAGCAGAGCAATGGCAACATCCACGGAGGGGCCTTCGAGGGCTACACGGAGAGCCCCTTCGGCGTGGGTCGGGGCGAGGGCGCGGACGCGGGCCGGGGAGAGGCGGAATGGATCGTGGAGGGCCAGAAGTACGAGTACGACGACTCCTTCTCCAAGCTGAACCCGGTCAACGGTAAGATCTCTGGGGCGGCCGCCAAGTCGGAGATGGTCAAGTCCAAACTGCCCAACACGGTGCTGTCCAAGATCTGGAAGCTGGCCGACATCGACCGCGACGGGCAGCTTGACGCTGACGAGTGGGCCCTGGCCAACCACTTGATAAAGATCAAGCTGGACGGCCACGACCTGCCGAACACTCTACCGGATCATCTGATACCCCCGTCCAAGCGAGAGGGTTTTGCCGACGTGTCCTCGTGAGTCTGGTTTCAACAGAATTCCAAAGTCTATGAAGTAATCAATAACCCCCATGGAGCTTTGTACAGTGTTGCCTGTTGGGTAATCATGATGCACTAATGTAAAATAGCCGTGTCGTTATGTTTGAAAGAAATACATAATTCGGAAAGAAATAAAATCTTATTATTATAATTATAACTTTCTAAAACCTCCGTAAGCTTACGAATGGACACTTTTCTGTCCTCTTGATCAGCTTTGTATCATGGTAAGAGAAAGTTCAAGCTCAGAGCGGTGTGGTGTGCCTAATCCTATCCTTGTGCTCCACAATTGCGAGTCATCTCTATAATTATTTATTACTTAAGGAATGACGTGATGTGTGTGAAGCTAACAATTTTCAAAAAAATTTTACAGGCTGGAGTTTTTTGGTTTGGTTCTGAAGTAGATCAAACTTTCCTGTTTGAAGAGACTGCTCAAAGTATTTAGTTTTTTACTTTAAAAAAGGACTGTCATCTGTCATATGTGGTCGTGGAGTAAATGACTGTAAGAATGGGAGCTAATTGTAATTTCCAAGTCAGCAAATGGAGGCTGTAATAAAAAAATGGACTAATTTATTAAAACTGAATTTTAATAAAAATGCATGTCGGATTTCTCGTTTATATATTTTGAGAAAAATTGGTGATGGGAGTGCTCTTGCAGAATAAAAAACCCCCCCAACTAAATATAGCAAGGTAATTCACTTTTATAGAAAGCTAACATTCCTCACTGTATGGAAGCTACCATAAACTGGACAAAAGAGGAACCATCTTATTCCCTTAGAAAACAAATGCATAGCACATAAAGTGGTATGATGCCGACGACAGACAGCGTCATGGATTGTGAAGGAACTTGTTTGTACAACTTACATACTGTCCCCGTCGTATTATGCAAGAAAAATTCTGAAATTATGCAAACGGAGCCCAAAAAATGTGAAATTACGCGATTCTGTTAATTTCAACAAAGAATGATATCAGAAATTATGCAAAAAATGATCAAATTTTGCTAAATTATGCGGGGTGCGTAAAACCACGGGGACAGTACAAAGCACCACTTTGGCAGATGGCTAATGTTACCAGTGTGGAGAATAAGGCGTGAGGCACAGTGGTAAATAAAAGTAAAGTGGCTGTCTGCTGATTATGCAGGGCATTCTGTAGGCAGGTCTTGTTGAGAAAACACTTGTTGAATGAGTAGATTTCTCCATCATGGTCTTAATATTATGATGAGCGAGTACAGAGATTAAATTTCACTGTTGTGCAGTGTAGATAAACATCATGTACTTATGTCTCCGACAGCAGAGCTACTATCTTAGAACTTAACGTCGGTGTGCTAAAAAGTGTTATTGGACTTCTCCACGTAAGATCTTTGGAATTGCATTTGTTGTAACGAAAACTTTTTTCTTTAGTATTTGGGGGAAAAACCTGTATCTTGCCGGCAGACTTATTAGATTCATGTTGTGTACATACCAGATTTGTATATTACTCGTGACAAGTGTATTAAGCAAGGGATTTTCTCACATCTTTCAGCTCAACTCACCCAGGTGTCAGTACATCTAAACATTGGAGATTTTACCCACTCTTAAAGGAGCATCTTTTTATCATGTGGCGATTGGATAATAATGCTTGATCAGTCTCATTAAGCCTGATCCATAGAGGGACATATGTGTGTGGATGCACTTTTTATCTTAGCAAAATTTTTCAGTTGTTAAGAAACCATGTTTTGAATTGCTTTTTGTTTGTAGACTTGTCACCCGTTTATTGTAATTCACATTTATTTCTTTGTGATACAGGGATAGCTGAAGACCAAAGCCTAGGAACATCAGGATCGATGACAGTAATCATGGTAGAGGCAGACACAGTTTTCTTGTCTTTGGGAGAGAGACTTCACTGATGAGCTCTTACATTCTCTTGTAATCACTCTTTGATCATAGTTGCATGCTTGTTGCATGCTTGACCATGATGGCTTCTTGTTTTGAGACAAAGGGAGAACTTTAGATGAGATATTTTCTTTTATTTCCCTGGGTGAGTCCTGAGGTTATTACTTATCAAATTGTCCACACAAAAAATATTTGCTCAGGGATATCAAACCTTTTCATAGAGTTTATATCTTCAAGAAAAGTAGACCTTTTTTTTCTCAAAGCAGGCTTTTTACTCTTCCCAAACACTTGTCAGTCACTGCTGTGTAGCTCAGAACATTTCCTTGTAAATGCCATTGATATCCCTGTGTAAAGTGATAGCTGGTATGATATATCCTAACAATTGTTACTATTATTCAGTATTTCATGCATGATCTTACAAACGTTAGCCCCGTAACTTTGACGTTTTGTCCACTGTACAGAATCTTGTGCATGCTTTTTGAGTTGACGAATTGTTACGTGATTTTTGAGAATGAAGGATATGAAAGATGTGTGTGATGTAGCCTTTACTTCTTTTTGTGTAGCATTTTTTAATTTACGCATGGTTTATATTTTATCAATGCCTGAACATATATATATTTGTGATAGTCATCTTTTAGCCCTTTATAATCACTGGACCAGTAACTGGCTATGAATGGTGATATCCTATTGTTTGTGCTAAAATCTATTCAAGGATGACGCACCAAGCGCTCTGATTTTGTACAATATACCCGTTTTTTAAAAATTCCTCTGTACTCTTATGACAGAGAAATCCTTTACTTTCTTCGATGAATTCAGTTGTTTTGCTTACAGGTTCCATTGCTTGTACTTTGTTTTATCATCTCTCCATTGTTTATTTATTTCCCTCTGAACTTCTTTCTCTCTGCCGGATGAATTGTTTATGGCCATATGTGCTTCGACTTACTGCATACTCAAGTTCAACAACACTAAATGTACAGTCTCTCTCTCTCTCTCTCTTCTCTGTCTCTCTCTCTCACACGCACACACTCGCTTTATCTTCCTCTGTTTCTCATCACTGTGCTCCTCTCCCATGATTACTTCAGAATATATAAATAACTACTATGTCGGGTAACTGGACTGATCTCATGTTTTAGGCCATAGGTGTAGTCTTGCTATTGCAAATAGAAAATGATTTTTGTATGTAGGCCTACTGAAAAAACTAGGTCCTCTAGAAACAGTCAAAGGACATGCAGCTTGTGCCATTATGAGAAGGGTAAGGGTAATAAATGACAAGGACTGTTTTAAAAATGCATCTCTGCAAGCTTAGATTCACAAACGCTCAACCCTACATTTTCCTTTAAATATCAAAGAATCCTTGCTGTTGTTGAATTAGGAGAACTGTGTAAAAAATATAAAAAATAAACCATGCCTTTACACCAGCATTGCAGTATGTTTCTTTGTGTCCTCCATTATTTTTGCATACACCATACTTGTCTCTCTCCGAGTGTTTGAGTCCTTTGAGTGAGCCCCGGGTGTTGAATTCAAGACTGGAACTTTGTGATGTCCATTGTTTATCTGAGATGAAATTAATCCTCTTGTGCCTGAGGTCAGGATGTTGCAGTTGTTTTAAGATTATTTCTTTTAGTTTCTCTTATCATGTATACTCATGTACCCTCATAATCTCCCAGCGTGTTAAGATAACGTTGTAAATGTGATGTTTTCACATTGATTTTGGGATTGAACCAACCCTTATTTTATATGTAGTAAACATATTTGGAATCATAATATGTAGGCTTTAAGTTTAAGAATAGCTATTTATGGTGTCTTGGTATAAACTGTATGTGGTAATGCCATGTCATTTTGGTACATGATATGAGAATTTTCTTTCCCACCATGTAAAGATTTCATGTAGAGCGTACTCATAATTATTTTTCATTGTGTCTGTTATTGATAAAATGTCCATTTTCACTGTTGACCAGCATGGATAAATAATAGCCTCCTTATAGCTGATTAAATGGGCAATTAGCGTTCTCACTGTTACCAGAAAAATTGTAATCAGTGTCTGAATAAGTTAATAAATTGATGAACAAAGGGCGGAGAACTGATGTCTCAGTCTTGTGCCCCATCATCCTGCCCGCCTGCCTGCCTGTTCACCTGCATCATCTGATGTTACTTGTATTACTGGGAACAGTCTGATGTCCTAACATTTGCTCCTTCCTTTTATTTCTGTGGGGGTCTTTGTTTCTGGTCACAGAGTTGCTTCTGATTGTTAAACAATTGTGGTTCACTGTAGGTGTTGAAGAAAGAATGGTTTGAGAAACTGTGCGAGCATCTACTGATACCTGTTTCTGTACTGGATTTCAAGCTGTTCAAACTCATCTGTCCATGCTAAGGTTTTCATAGGGCTCATATTGAATACTACTATAATGAAATCTGGTCATGTGCAATACGTGTATGTCAGTTAGATGTTCTCTCTCAGTTGGTTTTGTTTCAGTAAAAGCTGTAAGAGTAACAGCTGAAAAAAGGGCATATTTTTAATTTTGTGTAGTTTGAGGGCTTCATGAGCTTCTTTTTTTTTTTTTTTTTTTTGTCTCACAATCTGGAAACGTGATGGGTCTTACAAAGAATGTAGGCCTACCACCTTTTTTCCCTTGAACGTGGATTGTCCTTGCAACATGTGCCACTGATTCTACCATCTCATTGTTGCTACTCTGAGTCTTAAAACTATCTGCTGTAAGACGCTGTTACCTGGTGTCACTTTTAATTTTTTGATTTTGCTCTCTGTTTTTAATGTCCAGTGTTGAACACTTTCTTTCACTGGCCGTTAAATAGACGCAACAACAAGGCATGCATAGTCAGTTGCGACGTTCCTTTGCTTCATGCAGCATGGTTGCTTTTATTAACCATATCCGCACGACCTGGGGTTATTTTGTACCCCCAGGGTTGTATTCTTTACATTTTAGAATACTTCTAGTGCGAAGATCTCTTTGAAACTTTCAGTATTTCTCAAAAAATCATTTTGACAGACTACTACAATGCAAAGCATACGGATCGGATTAACGAGTAAATTTCCTTTTGGAAAATGGTGGCACAGTTCCCCACATCATATGGATACGATTGTAAAACACGATGTACAGATAGGGTTAAGACACAACTTTTTCTTGCTATTCCATCCCAACTGTCTAAACTACAAGTGATGACAACTTCAAAACACTTTTTGTCTGGTTTCTGGCTGAAGAGCATTGACCGGCAGGTGGGGCAGTGGCAATGTGGCGATGCAGTTTGAAAGCTTCGGGATGTGTATTCCAATTTTATATGACAATGTGTCAAGAACTGGTGCTTTTGATATATAGTAAAACAAAATATTGGCAAACAATAATTGGAATACACGTCTTTGAATTATAATGTAATTTAGTGCCATACACGTACTGTTTATAAAAGTTAGTTACTAACAGTGAACAATTAATTGAAAGTACAAAGGTGGCTATGTAACATATGAATGCAAAATGTTGTTTTTGAATTTTGTTTAAACTTCACACCTTGAAACTATGACATCCTGAAAAGTTATTCTAAAAAAGAAAAAGAATAGATAAATAATGAAACTATTCCATACCATGCTAATAATGGAATTGTAACGTCTTTGTACCATATTCAATAGAAATAATACTGTAATCGTAATGCTGGCTCATGTGCTCTTAGTAAAAAGAGAATGGTAATAAGCTGTCCATAATGGGATTATAGTATATTATATAATATACATTATGATAATAACAATAATAATAGTTGTAGTAATAATATGTTATTAATTTATAATTTAAAAAAAAAAGTTTTCTTTTCATGATAGGAAAGGAAAACCCAAAGAATAAATAGATTTGTAGGATATATCTGAGGCGTATTTTGTGTTGTGAGCATAATTTCTCAATAAGAGTATGCTTAAAAAAATGCATAATTCATCTTTGTACTGCTCCTTTCTGTGTCCTTTCACTCAGCTGCAAATGGGTACTTGGCGATCGGCAGAGACAGAACTATGTGAATAATAATACAGTTTGAAGGCCCGAGAGGTTACATATATGTCCAGGGGCTTTGATAGCATATTTGAATAAACAGGCCAGCCAAGGGAGTGTTGTTGAGCAGTTGTGTTAGCCTTCATTTGGAAGGGACACCAGACTCTGAACTGTCGCTTAGACTTTACCTTTAATTAACATCACTTTCCCCTCAACCTCTTGCCTTGTTTTCTCACTGTGTAGCTATGCATGTGCAATACGTCTGTGGCCAATTATGTAAAATATTCATACCATGTGATTCTGCACTCTCCAGTGCATGCTAGGTTGATTACTGTGTAAAAGGACAAAAATAAAAGTTTGCTTCCATCCTTACGAGTTATGTGTCAAATGCTGTTCTCTTATATATATATATATAATAGAGTAAAATGGTTACATATATTCTAGTAACTATAAACAGGCGATGGCCAGCTTCTTACTCATCATTCTTTTATATTTATGAAGTCGTCATACACTCGATGATCTTGCTTGCATTTCATCTTTGGGGTAAGCAGACTCATCAACATAAAATAATCATTCAGTGTGGGGGAGAAGCAATGAGTGAGAGACGAACAGGAAAAAAGTCATAGGATTGTCGGGCAATAGCATCCTTCAAAATTGGAATGTGGCAGCCTGACCTGAAGTCTGAAGGCAACAGGCCCTGCCCTACTCCTATCTGAAAAATCAGTTTCGCGACTGATTGAAGAACCAGTAGTCGACTACTCCTGAGATCTAGCACAGAAGAAAAGGACTGTAAGACACACGCTTACACTTTTGACTCCAAACAAGCTGACGATGACCCTCTTTTGGAGCATATCAAGGAAGTCATGATCAGAAGGCAGTGACCACATATATGTGAGGCGTGCTGACAAAATGAGTTACTTCTTGCAATCCAGGAATGGAGATATTGGTCGGAAATCGACTCTGAGGTCATATTTATAGATTTTCAATTGATGCCATTTTGTTCAAGTCTATTGTGTTTTTTATTATTCTATGCTTACAAATTGTACAAACTCCACCTATAAAGCTGATGTATTAATTTCCATGAGGCTGAAATCAAGAAGTAACTCATTTTGTCAGCGCACCTCACATATGGTTAAGTCAAATTATTGGGTCATAACATAATTTCTCCAATCATTTTTTGTTGTTTTGAGATTGCTTAAAAAGTAAATAATGCAACAATGAGAAGTCAGAAAAGGTTTCATTTATGGGATTATTAGTACATGAAACAAGACCCTGCTATTTTGAGGATGTGAAACAAGTTGCAGGCATTTTTGCCATTCGTACCATTGACTAAAAACCTGACAAAAATTACTGAAGCAATTGTGTTATGACCATGACCATATTTGCAAGGTGGAAATGTTCAGAAGAACATTTTGAATGAAAGGTGTAACACGGATCTGATAAAATCTCTTTATTCTTTTTTGATAAGACTAAGGCACAAAATTTGGGTTTTTAAAACCCATTTCCAAATACTTTGAACAAATTTGCCTTCTTCTTAATACATGTAATTTTTAGCTTGAAATCTATCAGCAGGAATCGGTCATATCCAGCAGAAACATCAAAATGTTAATCCATCCAAACATTAGTTCTTTTTAAGACAGTTGAAAAGGGGTGAATGAGCCTCTTGTGTACTCTTTATAGTATGTTGATTTGATTTCACGTTGAACAGACTTCTTAGTCTTTGGAAGAAAATGATCCTTTGAATCTCTCTTTTTACAAAACGAGTAGTAAGAAAAATTAACAGTAAAATCATTGTAAGCGTTAACCTTCTACAAATTGTCCAGTTGAATTTTGGCTTTTGGAGCCTTTTCTCTGCTCAGAATGGTGACAAGTGGGTCCTGACTAAGTGCTGACTCCTAAAATCTCAGCTTGAAAATAATCAAGCCTAGTCTGAAGCCTTTTACGCAGACCAGAGGCCTGTACGTAAGAGGATTAAAATCAAGAAGTAAAAAAATTTACCCGAGCATCAAATTCTAGTAGGGTCTGATACTACATTTTCATCAGTTATGAATAGATTTTTCTAGTTTAACTGAGAGCACACTGTTTCACAAGGTGTTTGCTTAGTGTTCTCAGAAGAAACAGCATATTGTGGTGAAAAGCAGTGTAGAGACAGTTGAGGGTGGTTGGCGGGTGCTCTGGTGTGGTTTGCTTCTTCTTTCCTATCAAATATCTATCGTCCTTATCTCCCCTCCTTCTTTTTTATGTTTGTTACTCTCTTGTAATTGTAAACCCTCTAATCTTCTGGCGCTCATATGACCTTATGCAGTTGCGAGCGCCGTAAAACCTCTACTAAAACTAAAAAGAGACTGTTTGAAACAATCATCTGTCACCGGCTTATTGAAGCTATCCTCATTCCAAAAGGAAAATTACATACTCTCCATTCATTCACTCAGTAGTTTATCTCTGTCTTTTTTTCTCTCAATTTACAAGCAGAAAAAAACCAATTCCCTGAGGCAGGATAAACACAATAAAAACAAAAAAAAATCCTTTAAATATCAAGGACAACATTACTGCAAAAACTATTTTCTCGATTCCTGTTTGGTCAGTAAAGTATGCATCACGTAAAAATCTAAAAAAAACTACTTAAGTCACAAGAATTAACAAATTTGAACCTTGAAATTCAAATTAAAAGATTGCAGCATTATAGAGTTTGCAATTCTTTAAAATGAGCACCATCACAAAAATGGACGTTTTGGCAAGAAAATATTAAGTAGGCCTACAGTCAGTCACAGATAAAATGAACGTGGAAAATGCGAAATCACGGATAGCTTGTACAATCTGCCATTCCCTGACTGATATCGCTTTAATTTGGTCGCTTTTAAGCACAAAGGCGCTATCCCGAAAATGTTGCTTGGAGAAAATTGAAGGTTCAGTTTTTGCCCCTTGCTCAGTTTCTTAAAAAGACAGGAGAGTTTTCTCTATAACCAAACAAATATATACATACCAATGAAACCAAAATGCTCCTATAGGTAGGGCAATGCGCACTTTTGGTAAAGGTCAAGATTTCTGGAAACCCCCGAAATCTGGTTTGGCCCGCTTGTCTTTAAAAGCAACCATTTTTCATAATCGTTTAACCCAAATTATAGACAAGTCGAACACATTTGTCAATCCTGACAGGTTCGAGTTATCCGTGCTTGACTGTACATTTAATCATATTTATGAACAACAGTGTGTTTGAACAAATATAATGACAAAACATTATAACAAAGACCCTCTTCAACATAATAATGTTTACGAATTTGAATAGTGCAGAAGCACCCTGTCTTACAGGAGTCCTCTCACGAAGATAAGATAATACTTACTGTGCGAGAAGGAAATTTTCCATGGGTTTCACATGAATGGTAAGACGCATATGTAGATATACATAATAATATGTAATGTACATACAATTTGAGGTCGTGCTGCCTTTTGGACCAACATATTGTGCCTTCAATACATCACTTTGAATCCATCAGTCCATCTTTTTCTACATCTTCTCTCCATTATGTTGAAGTTGACATGACATACAAACTCAAAGGTATGAAGGTTTCTGTTGATTTTCAAGCAGAAGCTACTTGTTGTAACCTAACATATGATCTTCGCTGAACTATACCTAAAGCAGACATTACTTGTATTATTCACAAGAGCTTGGAATAGCTCAATCTCAATCTCACTGTAATGTGAGTATAATTGAGGGGAACATTTCCTCTTTTCCCTTTTCTCAGGGCGAACTAAAATAACTGTCCCACTATTCCATAGTTTCTATACTTCCATGAACAAAGCAATGAAAGCTACTACTCTTTTCACAAATATTGCAGGGTCAGAAACTGTGATGTATTGACCCCAACTTTCAAAGCTGACACCCATTTCTTGAAAGACAGAGTGGTTTTGTTCTCTACAAACAGTAATCTTATTTTATTGCGACATAAACTTCTTAGTTGAAGTGGTTGAGCATAAACATACATCAGAAGATTAATTAATCCTGAATCATTGACGACATTAAAAGGAAGGCAGTGTGCTGGTTTTGATACATTTAAAGGTCTCTCTGGACGGTGAAATGAGGCCAACTTTTTTATCCAGTGATCTTGTGTTGGATCATAACCAGCAGCAAGTAAGAGTGATAAGATTTGCAGGCAACTGCTTCTACTTCTATTTTGTCTTTGTCCACATCTATCAACACACACCCACAATAATGAACGAAAAGCGCCTGGGTATATCTGTTTAATGCTTCCTTCTTCTCCACCGTCACTTTCTTCGTTCAGAAATAAGTAAGTCCCTTCACAACGCACTGTCATGTCAGCACCACTCTCAAGGAGTATCCGAACACAATGGTAGGAACACTTGTACACAGCATTCCATAAGGCACTGGTATGAAGCTTACTTCTTGCATTGCAATCAGCTCCACTCTGGATGAGGGCGTTCACAAGTTTATGCTGGCGTCTCCAACAGGCAAACATTAGAGGCGTATCACAGTCGTTGTCACAAGTATTCACATTAGAGAATGGCAGAACGAATTTCCAAAAGTGTGGATGATTGAAAGCAATGGACAAAGAGAGTGCTGTGTTCCCATCTTGAGAGGGTATATAACCGCTACCACCAAGGGCCAGTATCCTTCTCGCTGAATCGACATCTCCGTCTATGGCAGCAAGGTGCAAGGCTGAAAAACCATCTTCATTGAGCAATCCAAAAATTTCAGAGACAGTTGTGTCTGGCAGGGCTAGAGTATGACACATCCTCCTCACAACTTTTTTATAGTCCTCGCAAAGTGAAACTGTGTAATACAATAGATTTGGAAACTCCGTTAGCAGTCGCTGTTTGTGCTTCTCTTTGAAAATCCTGCTTGTCAGTATTTCTAGAAGCACCTTCCATTTACCTGTAAATTCAAGAATTAAAAAAGAATACATTAAAATGGTAAGTGCCCTTAAGAATATTGCCGGATCTCATTTCCTTCCCTTTTAATGTCTTTCAAAGTAGAGTCAAACCTTGGTATACAGCCACCCTAGGGACGAGCATAAAGTTGGCGGAACAGTGGGGCTAGCGGTTCAACAAGGTTCCTCTGTTATAACCCCGACTGCCCAACATCAAGGAACATGATTCTGCTGCGCAATCTGAGTTTGAAAAGTGTCTTTTTGTTGGTGATATGCATGTTCATGCACATGTATTTAGAACCAAGAGTCTTCTCTTTCTTTCTCTCTCTCTCTCTCCCTCCCTCCCTCCCTCTCTCATTCTCTCTCTCTCTCTCTTTCTTGTAGGAAAAAGATTATCAAATAGCCAACCAGTGGGTATTGTGCGCTCTGGCGGTCAGTAGGCTAGCAGTATGTAGGGGCAAATTTTCATTAGTTAAATAAGGACCGTACAGCTCAGACAGTTGGTGGATGGCGCTGTGAAGGTACAAATACTATGTTTAGCCAGTATAGATACTGCTCTTTGTACAATGGCAAAACTTGGAGGTAAGCAGGGCTGGCCATATAATGGTTGGAGGAGGTACAGTGAGGTTTGACTGTATAGGTGTTTCTATTGATTAGTTCTCACACCAATCTCCTCCTACACATCAAACCTCGCACAAAACAAACCTTTTGCAATACAGCAGGCCCTACTTTAAGAGTAATGTTCAATCACTTAAATGATGTATGTCGAAAAAGTTCTTTAATAGCAGGCATTTGGACAGCTATGTGAGGTATCGTGGTGAAATCAGGTGCTCGTCAAATAATAAAATCAAAGAAACAGGCATTTTTTCCACCAGTTTGGCAAATTTTATTGAATTTTTGTTTTTTGGCTCATCGTATTTTATGTCCACATAAAAACACATTTCCATGTGAATTTTACTGAAAAATGTTGATTAATAGCACAAAATATGTAAATTTTCATTTTTTGTGGACTCTCAAGCTATAGAAGTTACCAAACTTTGGAAGCCATTTTTTTTAGCTAATTTTACCTCTGAAACCAAGCTACCCCTGCCTCCTTCAATTGGAAATATTTTGAATTCTATTCAAGAAAGATGGGTGTTTTTTCATAGGAAGCAAAGCAAAAGAATATAAGATTTTAGATGATGCCAATAACTCCACATGCCCCAAAATTGACGAGTGCCCGATTCCACTACATCATGACACATATGTTCGGCTATAACAGTGGTCCAGCCACCGACAAAATTCTAAAACAAAAGGACAAGAAAGCAGATGAAAAGCAAATGAAGTGAAATAACATCCAACATGGTAAATTGCATCAACGTCACCCACTGCATGGCTTAATTTAAGTTAATTGTGAAATCTGCACATTTTATGATGTGTCACATTGTGTGTGCAAGACGACTTCAAGCACAAGAAAGGAGGTAGAGGCAGTGACAAAAGCATATGAATGGCTGAAAGAGAGCTTGCGTTCTGCCAGATATGCTGTCACTGTCATTGTCACTGACTCTCAAAACATATTGCAGCGAGTCAATAAGTGGATGCTGAGAAAAGAGTGGCTGCAAAGCATAGAAGAAACACGACTGAGAAAAATAACATAGATTTATGCTCCAAGCCATACGGGTGTGGTGGGAAATGAACAAGCAAACAAACTGGCGAGCAAAGCACCTGTCAATACTGACACTAAAATGGACAAAAATGATGTCATGAAGGCCCTTGCCACCACACTTGAAGATGAAGAGATTGAGCATGACTATGCGCCAATCTTACGACTTGAAGAACTGGGAGTTTTCAGAGGAAGTGGCAGAACCAGCATGGTGCAGGGGATGGAAAGACGGGCTATTAACCAAATGAACCCTGGAACTATCAGCAGGTGGACTCTGAGGTGGATATTGGAACGGGGAACGGGGAACGGAGCACGTATGGCAATGCCCGGAGTGCTATGATGCTGTTCCCAGGATCAAGTAATCAAGTAATCAAGGGCGCAAGGGAAAAGAGATAAAGCTGGATGTATTTGATGTTGAAGCAAATATCCATTCAGTGACTTAGTGTGACCTTGGACTGACATCATACATTATCTCCTTCTGGGATGGCAAAACTTTTAACGGGAATTGATAAATGACAGAATTAAAAGAAAGCGCTGGGCGTGTTAGATCTAAATGTTCCTTTTCTCAACTGAGGTAATTTTTGTACTAAGATAGTTGTAAAATGCACACAGCATGATGTCTTGTCAGCCTCTATGAAAACAGAATTCAGCTTTAAGTTTAAGAGAGAAATGATAATGATGATGATGATGATGATGATGATGATGATGGAAATACATTTGTGGACACCACACCTTTCTTAAGGGCTAAATAAACTGCCTCAATTGAGTCATCTTGAAGTTCTTTTGTCACTTTTATGGGGGTCTGCAACAGTCGCTGGATGTCACACACAGAGTCGGTTTCAGCAGCTTCCAACAGCTGATCCTTCCACAGAGCGCCTGCGGCATCTGGACGCATTCTGTTCAACAAATTAATATTAATTTCTGAAACATATGAATATCAAAGAAAAACTTAATGGAAAATGCATAGCCTACATGTAACATCAAACCAAAAAACTAAATAAGCAGATATTTTTACATAAGTCATGTACATGAATTTTAAAAAGAGAACCTGAATCAAAATAACAAACTGTGTCAAAGGTCAGGAGCTATGCTAGCTAAACGGAATCTGGCTGAATTTTTGGTTTCATTAGAGAACCAGTGACAACAAACTGCTATGGATTGAACATGCGAGTGCTACTCAGTTTGCAAATGAGCAGACACCTGGGAGAACAACAGCAGTACAACACAGTCTCTATAGATAGTATATAATCATAGATTTCCAACATGATGGATATTTCTTTGAAGTCATATGTGAGCTAATACATGTATTGTTTTTCCCCCTTTTAATCTTGGATGACCAAAAGGCGGAAATACAAACATACAAACGCATAAAAACAGATGGAGAATTTGTCTTTAGTATCCTCTCCTCCTTCCCCCATCAGTAACAGTTGACAGCAGATTCTTCAATCCACATGACAACTAACTTTTAAAATAGTTAAATACACAGCATATTATTTTATATTCATACTATTGTTAGAGTCTTAGTGCCTTTCAAGAGGTCAATACATACACATATTATGGTATGATGTTTTTGAAAAGTATTTCATTAACCATATCTGTACGCCCTGGGGTCATTTTGTACCCCCGGGGTGGTATTCTTCACATTTTAGAATACTTCTAATACGAAGATCTCTTTGAAACTTTCAGTATTTCTCAAAAAATCATTTTGACAGACTGCTATGCAAAGCGCACAGATCGGATTAGCGAGTAAATTTCCTCTGTTTGGTGGCACAGAGTTCCCCATGTCGTATAAATACGATAGTAAAACATGACGTACGGATAGGGTTAATTTACATTGACATTTAAAAGTTTTAAAAAGAATTAGTTCATGAAATTCTGCTCAGGCAGCCCGTCTCGGCAAGTTAACATCTCTTCAAATTTCAACTGGTAAGGCATATTCACCAGTGCCTGCAGTGTAGTGGTTAGGCTACATGTCACAAGCAGAAGACCTGAGTTCAATTCCCATGTCAGGAGCATTTTTATCGAGTATCTCAGTCTTTCTGCTGAGATGTTGTATCCCTCTCACTCTCAGCCTGGGTTGGTCCTGACAGGAAGGGTGGAAGTCATCCTTATAAATTATGACCTAAATTGTGTCAATGGGGGCATAACAAAATCTACATCAAAAGAAAGTAAACATTTTTATGGCATCTTAAAGCACATAATTATTCTAGAAAAATCTTTTTTCCCCCTTTCAAATAAAATGTAGGGTCTGTGTGTGTGTGTGTGTGTGTGTGTGTGTGTGTGTGTGTGTGTGTGTGTGTGTGTGTGTGTATGTGTGTGTGTCTGAGTAGACCAGCATCTGTGGTGTGGCATTTATAAGTGCTTTTATTGCACCCAGAGAATGCAAGATCAAAACGTTAGAACAATTTTTTTATCAAGTTTTTGGTTTCTGCTGGAAAGTTGTTTGTTCCTCAGCCCGGGTTGGTCCTCAAAGGTAGGGGTAGGGTCGAAGCAGCCTGCCTCCTACATGATCTAAATTGTGTTAACGGGGATGTAAAAATCTACTATTACATATTATGTTTGGGTAGCAAGCATGAATTTAAATGCATTGTTTTGGGTGCAATTACAGAGATTTCAAGATGAATATTCACAGGACATTGTCATTTTAAAAAAAAATGCATGTCGTAGTGGTACAGTGGAACTCGAATTCAGCGAGCTAGGATTTTTAACGAGAACACGGATTCAACGAGATGAGATAGATTCCCCATTTTTTTTCTTCTTTAAAATCAATAAAAGTAACCCGGATTCAACGAGCACTTAAATCAGCGAGCTCGGATTCAATGAGGTTGCTTCCAAGGTGAACTGCCCCCGCAGACATGGCTTCACTCATTTTTCTCCAAGAACGAACTTTATCTATTCCCGGAAACCATCCATTACACCTGCAACGTGAACCATAATTCACTTAGCCGATTGCATGCGACCAATCAGCGGCCTTTTTTCATACCAACACATGCGTTGTTGGCGCGTGCACGTGTTTACTCTGGCGTGTGTCGGAGTCCGATGGGCGGCCTGCACACATGTGGCTGTGGGTGTGTGTCAGGGATGAGGAGGGGGGGGCACTAGCGTCCGGGTGTTGAACGTTGCAGATACAAACGGGTCAGTCTTTTTTTTTCCCCTCGGCAACTGATCATTATTACAATGATAAGCTAGTCTTGACGTAGACCTACGTAATGAATTGAGCGGTTATCTATGGAATCAAAAGTCGCCGTACGCTAGGCTCTATACAGCAACACAACTTTTTGGAAAACAACTGAAATGACACAGGCGTGTGCATTTGAGCAAATTGGTCTTTGTTTACACAGCTCATAATATGCAGGCATTTCAGACACTACGTGCGACTTCTCTTTATACATTACTTGCTCAGTGCCTGTAATGATCTACACAAAACCTCGTGTTTGCCATAACGAACACTCGGATTCAATGAGATTTTAGGTCAGGCCCGGCGACCTCCTTGAATCCGAGTTCCACTGTACTGAGCTTTAGAGCTTTTGGGAGTGTGTGTATGTGTGTGTTTAGTAAGCACCACAAGCATTTTTTGTGGATTCTGGCGCGTTATAAATTCATTTATTATTATTATTATGATGATTTTATAGGTAACTGAAACAACACTTTCGTAATGCAGTTGTCATTGCAAGGAAAGAATTACTGTGATCATGGGCCAGTTTGAAAGAGACAATTAGATGCTTTGATCAAATGAAAGGAGCATATAATAGAACCAAACTGGACCCGCTCTGGAGAGCTCACGAGGGAGCAAAAAATGTCCTATGTAAATGTGAGGCATCGTGATGAAATTAGGCGCTCGTCAAAATAATGCAAATGAAGATATGCATTTTTCGTCCAGTTTGACAAATTTTTTCAAATTTTTGTTTTTGAGCTCAACACCTTTTATGTCCTTTAAAAAACATTTCTGTGAGAATTTTACTGGAAAACGTTGATTAAAGGTACAGCAAATGTAAAGTTTGAGTTTCCGAGGAATCTCAAGTTTTGGAATTCAACAAACTTTATTTTCTATAGCTGCCATTTTCCCGCTTGTTTTATCTCTGAAACCAGGCCACCCCCACCTCCTTCAGTAGCAAATATCTCCATTCTTATTATAAGCGAGATGGTTTTTTTTCCATCCAAAGATAGTCAAATGAACAAGGGTTGAGAAAGGGCTTCTTCGGAGTGAATGGATGAACCCAATACAACACCCATTACTTAGAGCCATCACATGGATATTCTGTCCTGGGCATTCTGCAGTGAAAGGCAATGAGGAGGCTGATAGGCTGGCAGGCAGTTTTGGTTGATGGTGAGGTGAAATTTGACAAAGGAAAAGTGTTGAAGACCCTGGAGAAAAAGTTGCGGGATGAAAAAGGCAGAGTGACAGCAGAACACCACGAATCATTAGGATGCGGGAAATGGGGATAGAGAGGAGAGAAGGAAGAAAGGAACGATTATCTGGAAAGGACAGACGTCGCCATAATCAGACAGCCATAGGAACAATTTTTATCAGCTTGGATACCTTGCAGGCTTTGGTGCTGGGGGGGACTGAGCACTTATGGACCTGTCCAGTGTGCAATGACGTTGTTGCCCAGGACAGGTAATACAGGTACTATAGTTTTAAGTTTAAGATGATACCAATAACTCCACAAGGCCAAAAATTGACAAGCGCCTGAGTCCAACACGTTGTGACACAAATGTGCATGAGAAAAGTAGATTTCATTACAAATACAGTCCATGTCAATTCCGCCCACTCCCTTCACCTTAATCCATGCATATTTATGGTTGAGATGCTTAGAACAGTTCATTACCTTGAGCTCAAATAGGAGGCATGCAAATTTATATAGAAAAAATATAGATCTATAGTCAAAAGCACGTTCTTAGGCAAACCAAGCTCTTTACATGGGGATCTCTGAGACTGACACCACAGTTTATGCTAACATTATATATAGATCTAACCTTCAGTTCACCAAAAATCGCCCCCCCCCCCCTCTTATTAATCAAACAAAATATCTAGGCTAATGTTTATGAACATGACAACACATTTTTAATTTTTAAAGCCTTCTGATGAGTAGATGATGCAAACGCACGCAAACACACATTAAATAGGGGAGAAAAACAAAGTCCCATATGATTAGAAATCTCTAAATCTTCACCATTCCCTTTACGAATTATTCCATACCTAGGCGATTATATGACCGTCTAGTTCCATACCCATTCATTTTTCGGAACACCGGCACATTGTTTTCTTGAGATCAGGAACTCATGAAAGCCAAACTTATCCTAACGGTATTTAGATTACATTAGTAAATAAAAATGTTTTTCACATCACAATGATAATATCAGGTACTGCTGTTCGATATAAAGATAGACGCAGATGTTTTCTTTGATCAGCCGTTCAGAAAGCTCCATTCTTGAGCCTGCCTGTTATAGACGGCTAAGGCAAGGACAAGATGAACAAACTCTTCACAAGACACAAACTGGAAGGATTGTTTTCATTCGATACCAAATATTTTACGACATAAGCAAACAATAAAAAAAAAGATACATTAAAGTCTTCAAACAATCAAACAGTCTATTGCAAGGAAAAATATTTGGCACCAAATATTTAGTTAGCCAAGATGTTGTAATCATTTGAGCCACCCCCCCCCCAATTAGGCCTAGCTGTTTATTGTGCGTTTACGACTTATACAGTCAAGGTCAGTCCTACTTCCTTTTATTTTCGTCTTCAACTTCAAGCGGGGGCATCATCAATTTTTTTTTCCAAGATGGCGGTTAAACACAGTTTCCATTGTCGAACAGAGAGGATCTAACTAAGCCTCCTTGACAGTCCCCCCATACAACATAACCCCCCTCTATCATATCATGAGTTCACACATCATTGTGTTATAGATTAAGATCACTCTAACCATTACTCATTCTTTTAGCCACTAGAGAATTTAGGCTATTGTTGTAAGGTGAGCAACATGGCATCCAGTTCGTCAACAAACCCTGGAACCAGCATGGACGACGAAGTTGTGGAGGGGACAGGGAAAAGGCCAGTATTAATGAAGAGGTCCACAGCAGCTCAATTCTTTTCCAAAGACGACGATGCAGAACGACCAAATGAACCCCCCTCTTCTACTTATGACATTGTGAGGACTTTAAAATTTTCAATTCATCAATATTGAACAATCCACTTTATGAATTTTTAGTCTAGAGTAGAGTGCAATAGAATTATAAGGTCAACAAAGGCCTCCTAATTGCTTAAACGAATGTACGTCTAACCGTTGAATATTACCAGCATGTCAAATTAATATTTTATTCTGTCTATGTAAGCTTTGCTAGGAGGAATGAGCAGGTTTGGCATGAGAATGATTTAATTCGGGTGGTTGGTGTGGGTAGATGAGTCAGAGTTGACGACATTTTCGCTTGCTTTTTGGGAAAAAGTGTATCACTAGATATCTAGGCCCTATACTAGATCTAGATCTAGAATCTTGTTAGACCTAGAGTGTAAGCTTAGTTTAATTTATTTAATTGTTTTTCAGAGATGCAGTAGATCTACATCTCTGTTTTGAAATGTCATAATTACGATTTAAAATTTCTATTTTGATTTAACCCTCGTTGTGCCTTTATAATGTTTTCCGTTTTCATATATTCTTAGGTTGTTGAACTTTTGAATAATGCGGCTGTGATGCAAAAGAGTGTCGATAAGATTGCAAACCTTAAGAAGGTAAGCCAGTTGCACTTTGACGATAATGACATTTAAAAATAAGAAAGTTAGGTGTGTGAGATGGCTGAGTCTATGCGCACGCAATTGCGTGCACAGACATTTAAAGTTTACGACACGTAGGCATTTGCGTGCAAGGTATCTAAGTTTGCTATACGCGCGCAAGTGTGTGTAGACACGTTGCGTCTTTACTCATAGTAGACTATCAGGTTCGGACTGGCGTACCGAACTGGAAGAAGGGACATTATACCTACAAGAAAAGCTACTATTGAGTATTTTGAAGGAAAGCCACCCAGAGTTACATTTCATTATGTTGCTATGCATCAGTCCTGCCTAAGACGGCCACTTTTCTCCTTGACAATGGGTGGCCGTCTTAATAGGTTTGACTGTATATGGCATGATATGGTGTGTTTAATGACATCAAGTCACTGGCTTTGGGCTTCCTTTCTCACTTACTTTATTATCTACTTTTTCATCTTGTCTGTGTGACTTTAGTGGATTTTAAGCAAGCTGACAACTCTCAATAAGCTTCATACACATAGTCTGCAGCTGAAGAGATAGATCAGAAAAGAAACCTTTTAAAATGTGTAATTTGCCACAAGCCTGGCATTCCCATCTCTACTCTACCCTATCGTCAATCTTAGCTATTCTTGAGCAACTCTTTCTAAACAGAAAACCCAGCTACACAGAAGAAAATCTGGAGGTACCACAAATTTCTGTTTGCAGATTCCACTGTTATTGTCTTTTTATCCAGTGTATAATGCTAAAAAAAGATAGTGACATCGTAAATTCTGAATGTAAGAAATATATTTTAAAAAACTAGCAACTTTAGAGTATAATTTATTTGCTCTGTTAAGCATACAAAGTATGGATTTGAAAATGTGTTTGTTCCAATACAATGTATTGAATGAAATAGACCAACTTCTCAAAAGTCACATGGATCAAACTGGAAAGTAAAAGGAGAGGTTTAAAAACATGTATGGCATTTATTAATAAACTGTTGGTATAATGGTGCCTCATGGATGGAAAAGCGATCTTAAAGTGAGCTGTGGTATTGCCTGCCCTTCCTGTTCGAGAATGTGAAAGGGTTCGTCCCAGGTGTTTGGCGTAGGTATGTGGATCCTTCTGTGTCACCCAAGAATATCCCATAAAAACGTTTTTATGGGGTTAAGATCTGGTGAGCAAGCTGGCCAATGCTGCAAGAAAATGTCTACATCATGAGAACAGTGAGGCATAAAAATCTGTCTCTAGCTTGTATGACTGTCAGTGCGTAATTTGACACAGGTGACAAAATTTGTTTACTTTGCACTGTTAAGCAAGAACTTTGTTTTTGACTAGCTCTGGTGATGCCTTCAAAACAATATTTTTATTTACATTCTATTTTTTTTGCGTGCGCTCCAACTGATCCTCATTTTACCTTTTTTTTTTCTCTCTCAGGTCAAAGAACTGATTGTTCACAATTCTCCAGATCTCTTGGATAATTTCCTTGATGTAAGTCCTGTGCTCATAGATTTTGTTCAAAGAATATTGTCTTAAAATTTTTTCCGCCTTGTTGCCATATTGTTTTCTCATGCAGTTATAAATATTTTATGCCCTTTGTTTTATTTCTAATCAAAGGATTTCTCGACTTCGTGGTCTACAACAAAAAGTTTCTGCACAGTGCACTTGGTGGCTTTTGGGGCATTAAAGATCACACTTAATCACCGGCTATGGAATGTTATGATCACTTAAAGTACATGTTAGAGCTTTTACGTTCACGAGAAATTAACGAAATACACACTATTGCCTTCTGACTGGAAGATGATTGAAAAGTCACATAAGTAAGGTGCATATAAGTGCCTGATATGGGCTCACAATTTTTCTCTCTGCAATTTTTTTTCTTCAATGGAACAGACAGTGGTTTTAATGACTGCAAGTACTACAGCGGTCTCCGTCTAAGTTTGAAGAAACACCACTTTAATTACTCAGTTTGCAGTAGAGCCTGCTTTTACTGTATACTGAACTTTTTCTCTATAGTCTACATTGCTCAAAACTTGTTCTAAATATGATAAAAATCTTCTTAAATCCCACTTGGAGTCGAGGTAAATTTTTATGTCTACTCTAATCTTATCCTTATAATATTGTAGCATTTAATTGATTTAAAAGGCTGGAGTTGGTGAAGCCCACTTTGAAAGAAAAAGGTCAAGGCCAGGGGAAGTGATGCGATGCTGTGCCTGTTTAACCATATGATTTAAGGAGAAAGGAAAGGGGTGGTAGGGATGGGTGTTTGAGGGAGGGGAGGCATGAATAAGTGATTGATTTTAAAAAATCATGCCCAGTTGTGTAAAGAAAATTGTAATTTTTTAAATTCTGCCTCTCTACCTTGTGAGCATAATCATTAACTTAATTAGTCAGTTGTATGACTCTCACAACCTTTTTTTTACAGGAAATGTTGGCCTTTCAGACAGATGTTTCTAAAGATGTAAAGAAATTCATAATTGGATTCATGGAGGAAGCATGGTATGTTTTCACATCTTGTTTTCTGTTTAAGAATGTATTTAAAGTAACTAGTGAAGAATGTTCCTTGTAAATTCAAACTCTGTGCGAGATTGTCTCTTTTTTAAGAGATAAAGTCTATTTTTGTATTGTCAGTTGTCACAATACTTACCGCTTCCATCATTTTTGCAGGTTTTTTTTGGTGTGTTTATGGAGTGGTTGTATTCATGATTTTGTCTGTGAGAAGATGACAAGATTGAAGTCTGTGAGAATCTCGTCTCCTGTTTTAGTCCAAAGCGTGCTACTATCCGCTCAGTTTATGTCATGTTTTTTGTTCTTTCCCCAGTAAAAAAGACAACGAATGCTTGCCCAAAGTTCTTCCAAGCATTGTAATGCTCCTTGCAGACGACGATGTTAACGTTCAAAAGAAAATTATTCTAACAGCGAACAGCATGTTCAAGTTGACTCTTTCAGTAAGTTGGTGTATGACACTTTCAGTCACTGTACTGTTTCATGATTTTGTACTGTTGTGTCTATGGTGATGGCTGAATGGTCTAGCTTTTACATTCCTCTGTGAATGCATTGTGTAGATGATAATATAGTGGTCTCTCACAAATCTTAGGTTTTCATGATTTGATTTCCTGTGATGTATGGAGTAAACCATGATGTACAGTTGAACCTGTCCAAGACGATCTCTTTTTGTCTAGGAGAAAAGTTGTTTTCAGTCATCTTAAACAATGACATGATAATTATAAAATTTTTAAAAAATACAAGGGGATAAGTGGAAAGCATTCTTTTTTACAGGTTGTCGTTAGAGCAGCTTCGAATGTATTAAACCGATTATCAAACTTTGGCTAGTTATCGAGCAAAGATGATTGTGCATATCCGTTCTAATGTCAAAAGACCTTTTACTTTTTATTTGTTCCTGCTTTTTCTTGTCTTGTATGTATTTGGATTAGCAGATTTCCATGTTTCCTATCTTTTGTTTTAGCTTTAGAAAAGATTTTGCTTTTGTATAAGTGAATGGGTTTAATGCCTTTATCAACACTTTTATTTTTGTGGAAATATCTTTAGATTTAACATTGTGTAAGACTGCTGGCTCTTCAGTATTTTTGTTGTTGTACTAAGCACAATGGGTAATGTATGACTGCTAGACACAAGAGTGACAAAAACAAAAGACTTAATGAAAAGGTTCTGGCTGTTTGCAGTGGAGTACTGTCAGATTTCTAAGTAATTTTTATCTCTCATTTCTGTCTGGTGCCTCTTTTTTATGTAGCATTCTATCACTGTTGATTGCAATTGCCTCTTTGACATGTGAAGAATATAAAGATGTGAATGGGATTATTAACAATTGCTTAATGTGTGTCATTCAGTGGATCACCAAAGCAAAAAAGTCCCGTCCTGAAATGACTGAAGTGTGGAATCATCTGAAAGAACTGAAAACGTTGCTTTATGAAATGCTAGAGTCTGTCAATGATGGGTAAGTCCATTTTTTTGTTTTTTCTATACTTGTAGTACATTTTAATTTGCTGTTGCTGGTAAGAAGATATATGTAATTTCTGAAATGTTTCTGGAAGCTGTGATACTAAGAATACATTTAATTAATATTTACAATGTGACTCCTACCTGTGTTGAATGTCCGCCTTTCATCTTGAGATTTTTCAACCTCAGTGCTTTACTTGACCGTTTTAATCAGTTATACAAAAGTGTTATGTTCTTAAGAATTCAAATATGACCTTGTTACAATTTTGCCACCCCTCTTCCAACATTGATAATTTCTTACTCCTTAAAAGACCTCGACCAACTGCCGCATAACATTCTGTGGAAAGGCTTTAACGTAACGACTGCTTTCAAAACTGTCCAAAATAGAAACAGGATGTGAACTGTATTAATAATAGTATTTTTTAGCCTACTTTTGTCTGATTTTGACCTTGACATCCTGTTTGTCAAGACGTAAAATGTAAAACCTGTATAGACCTAGCAACATTGGTCCATCTTTGATTTTTTTGCAAGCAGATTTCTGGTTCAGTTTCAACATGTTTTCTTTTTTTTTTTCTTTAAGATTTGAAAGCCCTGTCTTTAGGTTTGTGCGATATCTTATCTGTCTGTCAGTGCCTTGGGTTGTTGATATCATTTTTGATGGCAATGTTTTATTTTGCACAGGATTGCTTATTTTTTAACAGCCGTCATGTACTTATGAATGAATTTCCCATGAGCAGAAAGATAGTGGAAATATTTATAGGGAACCCTGTCTGTTTTCTTAAGGCAAATGTTTTCCAGATATATTCATGTGAGTTGGTGTTTGATTTGTGAATCATAATTGTTTTTTACTTTTTTTTTCAGGATCCGAACTCATGTTGTGAAATTTTTGGAGGGGCTTACTCTTGTCTGCTCAAGAAGAACAGCTGTAAGTGTTTTGGGTGTTCAGTTTTTTTGTGCACTTTTACGTAGCTCTTGTTGTTCTTTAGAAGTAGCAGTGTCTTTTTTACCTGTTATTGTTGTAGTCTGTGCAGCCAATCAAGTACTTGTATTGTCATTTTACTGGAGTAGCTACATGTGATTTTTGTCCCTGTGTTTGACTGACACAAAAGGACTCTTGTGATGAACTAAATAGAACATTTTTCTCGACGACACTATGAGAAGTGTGAGCTCTGGTGTTGGATCTCTTTTTCCAACCATAGGATATCCTTTTGGCATTTCTTTTATTTAACTCGATAATAGTTCCCCTCGAGGTTGAATACAATTTTTTTATAGGTAAAAAGAGCAATGGATCACCAAGAACTTAACAAGAAAATGACATTGGAGTATGTTCAATTTTGAGTGACTTGTTAGGGAATGGCATTAAAAGAGTTCAGTTAAAACTGTTATATATTAGTTTTTCTTATGATTTAATGGATTTCAATCATCATTTACAGGATTCTGAGATCCCAAAGAAAAATGAAGGTGATATATCGCTGGATCAAGTGTCACAAACAAATGGGATTGCCATACCTCAGAAGCTGGAAGAGGACGGAAGAAAGGCATTTAACTCCTTGTTGCAGTTTCAGAGCTCTCCACACATATCAAGGTACGTTTGAGCTTAAGGAATTATACTTTGGATGATCCCAACGCTCTCGCTGAACTGTCTTGAAATACTTTTCAGAGTTAGGATGTCTGGCAGTTTCTTCTATAAAGCAGAATTAAAATAAAAGTAATAGAGAGAGCCACTATTGGCACAATATTCTTTTCGTATCGGCCAGCTATTCAGATGCAGAAAACCCAAAATTTATTAATTTTTTTCCCCTTTCTTTCTTTTCTTAAAGTTTGGTAAATAGTTGTATCGATTATGTGAGCTTGAGAAACATTTTGTTGAAATTCAAATTTACTCAATAAACTTTTTGAATGCATGTAAACACACACATACACCCTCATACTTACGTGCAGGCACACACACATACTCACACACACACGTTTGTATTTTATTCAGATGTATGGTAGGTTTATGTCTGTGTTTTACCATAACAAAATTTTCTTTGTTTTTTTGGGTTTTTTGCTTCCCACTGTTTCTAATATGAATGTTCTTTGCTCTCTTCCATTGTCCAGTATTAACCTGATGACAGTAATGAATGCCTTGTCCAACATTGCCAAACAGAGACCCGATTTCTTTGATCAAGTTGTCCAGAGCTATGAGGCTCTTCATGGTGAGTACATCTGGTCACTCGTCTCGGATTTGTTCGACTTATGAGAGTTACTGTAATGACATCACAATTGCTGGATGTAAATAACATACTTTTTGTCTTTTTTGTAATGCATTTCTGTAATGATAATAATAGATGACTCTTATTTAATATATTTTTTACTTCAAAGTTGGCTCCATTGGTTTAATGATAAATATACACCCAGACACACACAAACACTCACACACACACACACAAACACACACACACACACACACACACACACACACACACAGGTGCACATGCTTATACTTGGTTGTTTTGTGGTGAGAAAAAAAGTAGATTACTGTCTCAGGAGAAAAAATGATGCTAGAGCTGACTATCACATCTAAGCTCCTAGTCTCTCCCCACACTACATCATGTATACATGATGAATCTATCTACCAGGTTGTTTTTGGGGTAAATAGATAATATTAATCGCTAAGTTCCTTGAATACAGAATATGGCATTGCAAAAAAGAGTGACTATGAGAATTCCGATAGCTAATGGTGAAACTCTAAAGCTTGTTTCCCTTATGCAGTTGCAAGTGCCGTAAAACCTCGACTAAAACAAAAAATGTTTGTTGCAAGATGCAGTGAGTCCTTCAAACCTATAACTGTGACCATCTTTTGTGTCAATTTACGTTTGTTGTTATCCACCCAGGAGCAAAGGCTTATTAAAATCTTTCCTGTCACTTTTAAAATTGGTTTGGAAGACTTGTAATTGTTTTGCTATTTAAAGAAATAGGCTTGATTCTCCATTACAGTGTTAGTTGCATGTGCTGGTCTGGATGAAATGTTGACTTATTTGTTTCTGCTCTTCCTTTCCTTACAGTGAACCTTCCTCCCACATTAGCAAAGTCACAAGTGAGTAGTGTGAGAAAAAATTTGAAGACACAGATGATGGGCTTGCTGAAGCACCCTGCGTCTGTTGACTTTTTGCAGCAGATATCAACTCTCTTGACAGACCTGGGAGCTAGCCAGTCAGAGGTGAGCATTCTATTTCAAAGAAAACGTTTACTAGATTACTGGACAATGTGAGAAGTTGAAGGGTTTATTTAAATGTCTTTCGCAGATTGGTGGCATATTTTCATGTTTCCTACTCACATCCTTTCGTCATTTTTAAAGTCTAATGAAAGATAGCTGGTTGAATCAGCAAATAACATAATCGAAGTGCCATTTATTCTCAGAATTTGGTATACCCTCAATGCCTCTGGTTGAATCAGCAAATAACATTATCGAAGTTCCATTTATACTCAGAATTTGGTATACCATCAATGCCTTGGGTTGAATCAGCAAATAACATTATCGAAGTGCCATTTATATTCAGAATTTGGTATACCCTCAATGCCTCAACGTTTGTTTCTTTTCTTCTCTTTCACAGATTGCGAAGAATATGCCCAAAGACCTTGAGAGTCGTAAAAGAAAAGCAACCCAAGAGCCAAGTGCTTCTTATGCCAGTAAAAAGCATAAGTTGGAGGTAAGCAAAGTTGGTTTGACTGAGGTTAGGGTTCAATTTGAAGCAAGCAAGTCTGTTAGTCTGTTAAATGAAATGAGTTGCTCATATTTATGTCTTCACCATTGACTATGTTTCTCTAGGCATTATATGACACTGGGAAGTTTAAAATTATAAGGGAGCCTTTTTTATTCTTGTGATGATAACTAGTTGAGGAGATTTGGTATTGGAAAAGAAAGTCAATGGACAAAAGGACAGGAATCAGAATGACTATGTTATAAAAAAGTTGTCAGTTGGAAATATTTGAAAAGGCTGCTATGGTTCGTTTGTGGGCAAGATAAACATGCAAAAAGAGTTTGTGGCTCAAAAACTGAGTAACATTAAACAGTTTTTTTTTCTTTACGGTACTCCGAACCCAGCGTCTCGTCATAGAAATCGTGTGTATTAGTGCTCTACAGTTGATAGAAAGTAGAAACCTGGTGTTCTCTTGTCTGAAATGATAGATTTTATGTAGTACAGATGGCAATGGCGACAGTAATAGGGAAGTGGAAGAGAACACTGAAGTTTCTGTGAGAAAAAAAGAAAATCTGTCAGTATGTATGTAACTATTATAATTTACATCTTTCGTATTGCACTTTTCCATTTGTTAGTTGGATGAGGACGATGATGGCATGACTCCGTGGGTGGACCGCTCCAGTAAAAAGGCTAAACCTGAGCCTGCACAGAAGCAGACGGCCATTGATGTGACAGCGGAGGACATATTGCCTCGGTTGAATCCCCAAAACGTTGCAGATCTTGTGCTGCTCAGCATGGTGTGTAGCTTATGTGTCTGTGTCTTCTGTTTGTTTGTATGTTGTTGTTATTTGTTCCAGTGCTGTATGATGGGCTGTCACTCTTCACGAGTGGATGGTTGGGCGGCGCCTCTGGTCTGTCTTACTTCTTTTTTCTTCTCTCGCTTTGTAGATTCTGTATTGCATTTACCATGCTAAATGACTGTTAATGTGTGGGTGTTCTTCTCTTTGCTCAAACTTTAAAAGGTACAAACTCTTCACTTTATAGTCATGATGTAATAAGTTCAGGCTTTCAAAAAATGCTGTGTTGTCCAATAGAGTATGTCCTCAGTGTCTGGGTCTTGCAAAGAAATAGGGAGTTATGATATCCTTTAGTGCTGGGCAGTGTTAAAGATGCACTGGTCCATAGATTTCTGTTAATGATGGGGTTTATGGTGTACAATAAACATTTCTAGACACTGTATACGGGTTCCAAATGTCTTCATAGCGCCAAAAAAAAGTTGGCCGTTTCTGAATTAACTTTCCAATTTATAGTTGAAATAAAAAATCGTTTTTCAGTATATCTTGCTGTTCATTTTCCACTTGATGTTTGTTGTTGCGTGGGTGCTTCATTTTGTCAAATTATATAACTAATGCTTTGAGAGGGCCCGTGGTAACTGCTACTTTACTCTTCCTTTTTTGTTTCTATCTTGTCCTTTCCCATCTCTAAATGGCAGTTATCGTGTCAATGTGCTTTAAAATCTCAATGAAAACTAAGTCTGTTGTTACTGTCTGTCTTACTTTTCCCCCTCATCTCTAAAGGACCATTATTGCATCTGAATGTGCTCTTTATTCAACGAACAAAAAAACCCCAGCTTTACCACTGCATGGTTTTTCTCGTATTTCAAGGTGATGCTCCCGGATGCCATGCCCGCACAGTTCCAGTCCACGTACACCCCGATCGCTGCAGCGGGCACAGAGACTCAGATCAGCCACATAGCCCGTCTCCTGGCCACACAGCTCACCATGGCAGGGATGGGCAAAGGTCTTGGGGAGCTGCAGTTACAGGTGAGAGATGAGAGTGTGTGTGTGTGTGCGTGAATGCGTGCACACACACAACTGGGCTTACCCTTACCCTTGAATAAGTTATTGATGGTGCAAGAGGCTGGATCCGGGTCAGCTGATAAAGTTTCAAAAAGTTTGTATTAAGGCCTCAACAAAGAAATTTACTTAGGATGATTCATGCCGAAGTGTCGAAGATTTTGCTTTCACCAATTTTTGTCAGCGTCTTCTTGGTTCTGTTGCAAAATTCGTCTCGTTACAATTCAGACCTTGCGTAAACTAGAACCTAACAACTACGGTGGAGGCAACAGAACCAATAAATTTTGTTCCAGAAAATATTTTTTATATTGTGTGGGTGTGTTTTTGCAGTAGAATAAGCTTGGAAAACTCATTTACGAATTGTCAATTTTTTTTCATTGCAGGCTATGAAGCAAGATGCAAAAGCGGTCAGCGCCACTGATGATCAGCCCACCTCTCCAAAGCAAACAATTCAAACTGTTTTGGGTGAGTCTTTGTTTGTCCTCAGATAATCTTATTTCTTGGTGCAATGTTGTTTTTTTACCTGTGTTGCAAAAGGGGTGGGGGGAGGGGGTTGGGAAGTTAAATGTAATCTGCTCCCTCTATTTTGTTTCAGTGTTACATTAAAAACAAAATTATTCTGTTCCAGGCAAAATGTGTTTATTTTTATGCTGGTTCCACGTGGACGCCTGCTTTGTGCTTCTCTTCCTTTTCACATTAATGCTATCCTCAATATTTTTGTCCTTCCAATATTTTTATCCTTATCATGCTGTGTTTCTAGATACATTTTCATCATATCGATGTGCATCAAGTCTTTATGACTACCAAGAATTAAGGACCAACCCTTGAGCAGACCCTGTTTTGGCAGTATCATTGAAGCTATGCTTTACTGTATGTAAAAAATTGTACTACTGTGTGCAGTATTAAACAAAAGAATTTTTAAAAATGTTAAATTTAATTCTTTTGTATATCTCTTTGTTACTTTTTAAAAAGTTTAAACAGTAAGATCCAGCACTAATGACTTGAAACTTTTACTGTTCCCAGGTCTGAAGACAGAAGAACAAGATGAGCCAGTAATCAAAAAGCCTAAAATGTCACAGCTTCCAGTAAGTTGACAATCAGAAATTTTCCAGTTTGTCTTAGCTGTCTGTCTCCAATGATAGTTTCAGTCTTTTTTAAAGAAGACTTGTGTAAATGAAAATAACACCTTGTGTAGGTCGCCAAGTGTTACATCACTTGAAAGTCTATGTTGTACTAGGGTACTACCTTCTTTTCATCTCCATTTTCATTTGGGCTTCTTTCATTCACATCAACGTTAAGAGACTTTGTTCTTTTCTGCATTGGCATTTGTACTTTTCATTTTGAAATATGCATGCTCTGCTGCCCATTACACTTTTGTAGTGATTTTGGCACCGAAATGCTATTTACTTTTTGCAATATCTTTCTTCTAGTTCAAGACATTTTAAGTAGCAAGTAAGACGATGTTTTATTAAAATGATGCATAGTGCCATCATAGTGTTCTGTGTTGCATCAACAAGCTCATGATCTGTTTTAATATTTCCTCCTCAGCTTCCCCCGTCTTCTAGGAAAATGAAACAGTTTCAGCTCTCCAGTGTCACCAGGAAACTGGACCCACAGATCTCAGAGACTCTTAGCTCCGATGCAATGAAGAGAATAATTGAGGCAGAAAGTAAGAGCTTGATTCTGACAGCTTTCTTTTTAAATTTTCGTTTGCTGACATGGTTTTAGTCGTATTTTATGTTCCTTTCAATACTGATTTGTTTTTAAGATAGCAGCACTTTATTTATAATGCCTCTCTGCTGTGGAACTGAGCTAGGGTTAGAGAGCCGTTCAAGCTCCCAGAGAAAAACATCTTCCAGCATTTTTGGGGGCTTGAAACCTTGGATTACAAAAAAGTGCCCTATCCTCAGCTTCCATGAATGAAGGAATGAGACATGTTAGACCACAGCTTCTTTTGTGGAAATTTCTGTTGTTGTCATGTATCGTTGACCGTTCACATATCTCTGATTATTGGTAGCACCTTTAAGTGCTGATATTTTCAGAAGAACATAAAATTCAACTATCTAATCTTGGAATCCATTTCTTCTCCCCCATGATCATTGCTCTCTTTATTTTTTTAGATTTAATTATTTTTAATGATTAAAGAGCAAGTTCGTATTTCAAAAATACTTATTTTCCTTTAAAAAGATTTCTTTCATATTTAAGAAGTTATGAATTACTTTATTCTGTGATGAAAATGTAATGGGTTTTTTCCCCCATTTGTATGCTTTTGTGCCTCTGCTTTGATTGTTAATGATGAGGAAGAAATTGAATGACACTTTCCATCCTCTTGCTTTAGGCTTGTTGCCTTTACTTCTGTCTTTGCTAGTTGTTTACTGTTTTTGTAAGAACACTCCTTGGCGCTCATATGACCTTATGCAGTTGTGAGCGCCGTAAAACCCTCTATTATAAAAAAAGAACACCTTGGCTGCAATGTTCCGCCTTCAAAATGACCTACTTTGCTGCTATTTGTTGGACTCCAAGTTAAGCTGCTTCGAAAAATAAAAAACTTAAGTTTTGACAATTGCTACTTTTCCAGGGGCTGCATCAGTAGGTCACGTGGAGCAGCACCGGGTGAAGCTGTTGGCCTCTCTCACTTCTTTGTCCGGGGAATCCCACAAGAACGGTATGTGTGTGTTGTTGAAGGTCTTTATTTTTCCTGAAATGTACGATCAAACCTGTCTGCTGAGGTAGGTGGTTTGCGGGTGCTCTGGTGTGGTTTGCTTCTTCTTTCCTGTCAAACATCTATTGTCCCTATCTCCCCTTCTTCTTTTTTATGTTTGTTACTCTCGTGTAACACCTCTAATCTTCTGGCACTCATATGACCTTATGCAGTTGGGAGCGCTGTAAAACCTCTTCTAAAACTAAAAAACTAAACCTGTCTGAGGCAACCACCTACTTTGTCGAGGAAAAAAGTTATCGTCTTGGACAATGTCATTCTTATATTAAAAAAAAAAAGCAATGGGTGGGTTGGGGGGAGTGGGAGGCGGTCGTTTGAACAAGTGATTATCAATGACAGTAAGTCGTTACAGCAGGTTTGACTGTGTTTGGTTTCAGGAGCTGTTTTGTATTTTTGTAGTTACTCGCAAACACCGTTTGTCTCATTTATTTTTAATAATGTAAATTTCTTTTCGTGTGGTATTTCTTGACCTTAAGGTGTCAATGATACAATGAAATTGTCACTCGGTCAGATTTAGGGATAATTTAGATAGGATTGGATATACATTCCCCTCCTCCAACTTACTTTATCAATGTGACCATGAATGTGGTTACTTGTGGATCTTTTCACCCCTTCAATGCTAAGTGGGTGGTTGGCAGGTGCTCTGGTGTGGTTTGCTTCTGTTTTCCTATCAAACATCTATCGTCCTTATCTCCCCTTCTTCTTTTTTATGTTTGTTACTCTCTTGTAACTCCTCTAATCTTCTGGCGCTCATATGACCTTATGCAGTTGCGAGCGCCGAAAAACCTCTACTAAAACTAAACTAACCTTCAATGCTACGTAGTTTCAGCCTCATGTGCTGGGTGAAAAAGGGATGTGACCCTACTTTGTAACAAACATTGACGATAATGCTCACAGTTTGCTTATTCATAATTTATATCAGTGCAGTCTTGAAACTCCACAGATTTGTAGAGAAAAGGATATCCTATTTTCACATAGTAGTCTCTGTTTGACCTTCCAAAAAACAGCTGCGAACCATGCTCTGAACAGTCATGGACATATGGCTCTTTGACAATCTTTGAAAGCCTGAACAAATTCTGGCTGATGCACAGATGGAATTAAATTCAAACAAGCAAATGAACTTTGAGCACCTCAAGAAGTCTATAACGCTCTGACTCTGATCTGGTCAAATGATATGCCTTCAACAACTTTCCCCTCAGCTTAAAATGGGCGCCAAAGGAAAATAATGTTCTAAGAAATGCTGCTCAGATTTACACTTTTCACCCAGGCAGAGCGCAGACCGCACAACACTTGTCCCCACTGACCAGGATGCAGATGCCATACATCAGTACTACACCTGTATCTCGCCAAAAATACCCCAACCATTATTAGAATTTCAGCATGCTGAGAAAATTGAAAGTGATGATCGCATGTTCACCAGAAAAGGAATTAGAATCAGAACTGAAAACATTAGATCTAGCTCATTCATCACCCGAATTCTCTTCTTGGTGTAAGAGTATAGCAGCACTCATGCTAGGTCTACTTGACATTAAAAAAAAGATTACTCTAATTGTTGCATACAAACTGATTTTTGACCTCAAAGGCCACACAAACCATTCAGAAAGGAAATTTGACTTTAACAAGTGCTTAGGTCAGAAAGTAGATTATTGCTGCAACATTTTTGTTGCTACATAACACCATCGTCGATCGGCGCCTCGTGGGGGCAAAGTGTTTTGATAAATGATGTGCCCCCTAGCATTTATAAGTCTGCTGGTGTTGTCCACTTGTAAGAAAGTATACTTGATTCTGTTGCAGCATTACAAGAGCACATCTTCAACGACATCCGCGGCCGCCAGGACCTGGCATTTGCCTGGCTGTACCAGGAGTACGCCAACCTGCACGGCTACAGCACCAGCGAGAGCCCGGTGACGACGCCCACGGCTGTGGGCCGCTACGACGAGTGTCTCACACGTCTGCTGGTGGGACTCATGGAGCTGGACGATCACCATGGAGACATGTAAATACAACCCTTTTTTTTTTTTTTTTTTTTTGTAGAGTAATTTGTCACTGGTGTTATGCTCTGATCGTGTATCCGGATTTTGAAAAATTTTTCAGTACGCAACACCCCCCCCCCCCCCCCCAAAAAAAAGGAATAGTAATCTTTTTTCACTAAATTGGGATGTTGTCAGTGCCATTTTGCGATCATGTGTGGCCAAGTGCAAAAGGCCTCCAAAGCAAATCTCCTAATTGTTTAGCTATATATATATATATATATAAATTTCAGGAATTTGTTAATTTTGTCTATTCACCAACGGGCATGATGATAGATTGGGAAAACAGCAGAGAAATAGCATGTATTTACATTGAGTTAAAATTTGTCCCCTGCCTTTTTTGAGACACCTGAGCCCCCCACATATCTTTTATCTTGTCCTTTTAAAACTACATTGAAGATGTGTATGCGTCTGATGCTGTGCTTCTCAGCAGGAATGGGTTTTCAGCAGGAATAAGTTAAAGATTTAGTGTGCGCAATGAGCCAAAACTTTAGTATTTAGTTAAGCGTGATTAGTTGAATGTTATCATGATTGTTGATGTCTTTTTTTTGTTTTTTTCCTGTCACAGATTGTTCCACAAGTTGTTACTGGAGGCCCCAGCCATCACAGACAACGCCATCTCTGTGGTGAAGAAATACTGTGCTGTGGCTGTAAGTTAGCCCCACTGATTCTTCTTGTTACTTTACTAAGAAGAGTGTGCTGGGTGTATAACGATGGTATTATTCTCTGACCACGTGATTGGTTACTTAAATTTTTTTTCAAATTGTGAAAAATAAAACCCAGCCCTTATTTAACTGAAAAGAGAAGACACCAAGGTTAGCCTACAGTACTTTTGTATGATTTTATACCTTGGAAGGAGCAAAGTACAAATCATCTGCTATTTTTCCTCCCCCCTTTTCTCAATGCTTAAAAAAAATAGTTAATTAAGAACTCAACTTTCGGATTCTTCTTTTATGTTACTTTTGTTTCTGTCTGTTTATTTTGCTTTTTCTTTGTGCTAAATTCCGTTATAAAATGAATATAAATCTTTTTCGGCATGCAAAACCTCCCTCCACTCCACCCCGAGTATATTCAAAGTCAACATCTGTCTTTTTTTCAGAAATGCACTGAGAAGGGCATGAAAACTTTGAGTCAACTGATTAACACCCGCCCTGCCAAGAGGGGAAAGTTCCTAGATCTGCTTCTTGAATTCTCCGGTGATGAAAAGGTGGAGGTAGGAGCTCACCCTTCTTGTTTTTTTTTGTGGTTTAAAAAAAAATATTGTTCTTAGAATGTGGTGATGCAGTTTGTGACATTTAAAGGCAGTTAAGATATTTTTTTAGGAAGCTTCACAGTATATAATCTCTTCACTCAATACTTGAATTGTTCCTCTGAACTGTTGCACAAGAGGATTTATTTTTCAGCGTTTTTTTCTGACAATTTATTAAGATTCGGAATTCTTTCTTGGTTCGGGTATCACCAATGTGCTATAAGTTCATATACCCAGTGTTCGATTCTAATGTATCTGATCTTTTTTTATCTTATCTATGAATGTGAACCCTTATTTTCAGAAAAGAAAAAAGAATCCGAAATTTTTTTCTTATTGTGTTACCAGAGTTGCTGTTAATTTCGTGAAGTATTCTTTTGACATATTATAGTGTCACCAATTGTAATTATGGTTTTGATAAACATAATTTGAGACTGAAAAAAGTGCTAGACCTAATTTGGCGGTTGCATGGTTTGAGTCAGGAATTGATAACATTGTTTTGAGAATTGTTTATTATTTTCTTTTTAAAAATCTTCTAAGGAAAATTATTACTTTCGTCAAGGGTAGAAAAGTAAATTCGAAGTCTATTAATTTTAGTTGGAAAAAGATTGAAGGCATTGAGTGTGAACATATAGCAAATCTGCATGAAACATCAATTGGTTTCCTTACTGACATGACAGTGTATGATTACTCATATCTTGCATGCAACCTTCCAGTTATTTGTTCAACCATTTATAATTACATTGTTTTTGGTCAAAGTTTTTTGGGGAAAAATCTAAAAAAAAGATGCAATACAGTGAACTTGAAATTACCTCCCTTGAAAGTAATTTTTGGACAGTTCAATTAAAAAAATTTTTTTTTAGTGACAGCAAATATTTCTTTGCTTTACAAACTCCTTCAGGATTCGTCTTGTCATTGTGTTTCAGTAGATGTAGCTTCAGCTCTATGCGTCTCACTGGGTCAGTTGTTGAGTATTGTGAAGACTGCCCTTTTGTAATGTGAAGTCTGTTCTTTCCGAAAAGGTTCGCAACGTGGCTATCGAGACGGCCCAGAGCCTCCACGCCAGCGGCAAGATGCAGGAGGAGATAGAGACCTATGCCACTCAGCAACTGAAGAAACTTTTGCAGACAAAGCCGCCTGTTGTGAAGTCAGAAGGTAAAGTCTGACCCTTTCATAGTTCTGGCACCTTCGAGCAGACAGATCTGTGCGCTGGAGCTCTTTTTGGTTCATTGACAGCTGGGATGAGCCCACGGCATGATTAAGTGTGCATTTGTTGCACTGAGGGATAAAGCTAGTAGGCTACAATGATAGAGCTAGTACAATGTTCAGGCTTTTTCTTGGGTCTGTAAGGTTGAAGAAGTCAGAAATTTACAGCACTGTTTGACAAGTGAGGTCTTTTTTCTGAGTTGAGATTGAATTGTTTTCTACAATGTTGATATGATATCTGATTCAGTCAAATGAATTCAAGAAAAATTACTATTTGCAATGACCAATAACTAGGAGTTATATATACAAAGACTTTTTGTTGGTGTTGTTGCTTACAGTTACACCATGAGATGTAATCTGTCTTTTCTTTTATCTTTATTGAGCCATATTTGCAAAATGTTTCATGGTGAATCGAGAGGTCTTGTCTCGCCTATTCTGTTGTTTTTTGTCTTTAGTTCAAAATGTGTTGTGTTCGTGTTTCCTCAGCTCCGGTTGAAGCGTGGACAGAGGACAGCATCAAGGCACATTTGTACCTTCACCTCGGCCTTCTGCCGTCAAACCACAAACTCATTCACGAGTGAGTAGGCTTTACATAAACCTTACTAAAACTAAAACAGCTGCTTGTACTGTATGCTTCCCAGGAAGCTGAGAATGTTTCTGAGTGTTCTATGGTCTGCTGGGGTAATAATATAGTGTAAAGCGCATAAAGCTTGCTTTCGTGTGGGGACATGCGCTTCACAAATGCTATTTATTATTATTATTATTATTTTTACATAAGGCTGTTTGTCCTTTAAAATTAAATATGGATCAGTTTGCTGTGGTTTTTATAATTTCCGGTCTAGCGGTGCTGGGGTTTTTACCTCTCTGCCCTGTGTTGTTTTATGATTGGTGCTGCTTTTTTAAAATTGCTATGTTAGTATTTAGCAAGTTTTGAATGGTTGGAGGGTTTCACAGATATGTCATATTTCTTTACTTACTGTTTCTCTTTGTGTCTGTCTGTCTGTCTTGCTATTTCCTAGCACTAATTAACTTACTGACCATTAGTTCAAAATAATTTTTTGATAGGAAAGAAGAAACATCTATCGTCCTTATATCCCTTTCTTCTTTTTTATGTTTATTACTCTTTTGTAACAACTCTAATCTTCTGGCGCTCATATGACCTTATGCAGTTGCGAGCGCCGTAAAACCTCTACTAAAAAATTTTTTTCCTCAGGTTGGCAAACATTTATACGGCCACCTCAGCAGACATCAAGCGCACGATTCTCAGAGTGTTGGAAGTGCCGGTACGATATTACAATTCATGATTGGTTTGCTTTTCCTTATTATGTTCATTGTGATTCTGAACATAACATTCATAAATGGGAAATGGCTATATTTTTTCTTTACTTCAGTGTATCATTTGTTGATAGTTTGCATACTTTACATTTTGCATTATTTTGTTCTCACAAGAGGGAATCTTTTTCTTTGGAAATATGAATTAATTCAGTGTTTTGTGTTTTTATTTCGTCTATTGAAACAAATTGTATATTTTGTGCTGGGGGGTGGGGTATCTCTTCGCCAGGAGGATCACATAAACTTGACCCCCCTCACATTATTTGAAGTTACAATCCAGGTCCCCTGTAGTATTTGCAGTGTTACAGCTAGCTGGTTAGATGTGTACAGCAATCATTCACAATTCTGTCTTTGCCTACTGGCAAGTAGCTTTTGAAGTTGGGTAAATTGAGGAAAATTGTGTCTAATTCTTTCCCTAAGAATGTGAGGCCCTACCCAGCTGTGCTGGAATTAGAACCCTCAAATTCATGACTGTGTGTGTGACTCTATAGCAGCCCTTTGTTCGATGCCCTTAGAGGACTGAGCAGTTTTTAAATACTCAGTGGGCGGTTGGTGGGTGTTTTGGTCTGGTTTGCTCCTTCTTTCCTATCAAACATTTATTTTCCTTATCTCCCCTTCTTCTTTTTTATGTTTGTTACTCTCTTGTAACACCTCTAATCTTCTGGGGCTCATGTCATATGACCTAATGAAGTTGCGAGTGCCGTAAAACCTCTTCTAAAACTTAAATACTCAGCTGGTAAATTAGATCTTTTTGTTTGTTTAAAAAAGAATATTATGACTCTTTTCCCTGTGCATGTTCATGCAAGTCTTGTGCACCTGTCCCCAGGTACGTGGGATGGGCATGGACTCACCCGAGCTGCTGACCTTGGTTGAGAACTGTCCCCGGGGCTCGGAGACCCTGGTCATGAGGGTCATTCACATCCTCACTGACAAAGGTGAGTGCAGTACATGTTGTCTGTGGCTTATGCTGTCATTCTTCTGGCTGACACTAATATCTTTACTCTTTTTCTCCGGCAAACCGCTCCCAGTGGCTCGCGGTTGGAACCACTGGGCCGGTGAGCGGCTGGAGCACATTCCTTTACGGCGACTTCGACATCAAACTACTTTTCGGCAATTGCCGAAAACAGGTCTCTTATACCGGAAGTTCATTCATTAGATGAAAAACTATCAAAATAGGTTTGGTAGTTTCGATTTAATGACGTTTTTCTCATTTTTAGATGTAGCACCAAAAAAGTGTCCCCCTCGGAGAAAAAGAGCTAATGTGAGTCCATTGGGTCCTATTGTCTCTAATTGTGAACTGTGACATTGCGGATGCTTTTGGAAGACAAGTGACACATATTGAGGTTTTAAGTCAGTTTGTGTTTTGTAGACGAGTGGTAGGCACTCTGGTGGGGCCTGATACTTTTATTTCTTTGAGTTTAACAAAAAAAAAGTACAGATTTTCTGGATAAATCAAGAAATCCAAACTTTTGAAATTGTGAAGATTTTGCTTTTTATTTTATAAAAAGTCCTGATACAGGATATGTACCACAATATGATCCATCAATTTTGAGTCCCTGTGCGTTTTTTTAAAATAGTCAGTTGGCACTTCTGGTAACAGGGCACAAGGGGTTTGCAGGGAGGGCATTAAACCCATAAATAGTCCTAGTCTTTTCTGATCATTGTAATGCTGGGCTGTTCCATTCTGTCGGTTTGTAAGTGGACCGACATGTTTACAGAGCAATAACTGCTGAAGATTCCACTGACCTGTAATATGGACTCTGTAACATTTGTGAGGCATGCTGCAAAATGAGTTACTTCTCACTATCTAAAAAATGGAGATATTGGCTGAAAATTGACACTGGGGGGTCAGATTTAGAGATTTTCAATTGATGCCATTTTCTTCAAGTCTACTTTGTCTTTTATTATTCCTTTCTTACAAATTGCACAAACTCCACCTATACAGTTGATGCATCAATTTCCATATACGGCTAAATTCCGAGAAGTAACTCATTTTGTCATCACACTTCACATTTGAATCTTCTCGTCTCTCCCAGCTGTGCCATCTCCAGAACTGGTGGAAAGGATCCGAGATCTTTACCACAAACGAGTGCCCGACGTGAGGTTCCTCATCCCTGTGCTCAATGGCCTCTCCAAGGTAATGATGCCCTCTGTGGCGGCTCATGTATTAGTTTTAGTAGATGTTTTACAGCGCTCGCAACTGCATAAGGTCATATGGGTGTCTGAAGATTAGAGGTGTTACAAGAGAGTAACAAACACGAAAAAGAAGAAGGGGAGATAAGGACGATAGATGTTTGATAGGAAAGAAAAAGCAAACCACACCAGAGCATCCGCCAACCACCCACTGGCTGATGTATGTCTGGTCTTCATGTCCTCTGACGATGTCTTTAGCTACAAGCGTTTTCATGAGTTTTATTGTAATCAAGGATGCTGGGGTTTTTTCTTTTTTTTTTCTCTCCTGATTTTTCCATTATTATCTCTAAAAGAATAGTTATTGTTCTCCGTCTCTACATTTTGTTTTCTATTTAACCCTATATTGAAATGAGTTGTTATTTCTTTGCTTCAGAGGAATTTGTTTAAAAATGCTTCAGCTAGTGTTCCTTTATCATGTTTTTATCTTTTACAATGCTTGGGAAGTTGTGAACACTATGCACAGAAATTGAGAGTCATACTGAGATTTAATTTTGTTGAAATGGTAAAATATGTTTGACAGCTACCATTTATGGGTGCTTTTTGAAATTCTAGTGGTGGAAAAATATTTGGATAAAGAAGTTCATTATTCTTAGTGATTTAGGAGAAGTAAAGAGCTTGTAGTAATCTATGAGAGATTTTAAACCTATCTACAAAATGAAAGATTGTCCATGAAAAACCTACTAAAAGAGTTTGATGGTATAGTTGCTATAAGTGGGTGGTTGGCGGGTGCTCTGGTGTGGTTTGCTCCTTCTTTCCTATCCCTTTTTCTTTTTTTTAACGTTTGTTACTCTCTTGTAACACCTCTAATCTTCTGGCGCTCATATGACCTTATGCAGTTGCGAGCGCCGTAAAACCTCTACTAAAATAGGTGGCCTGTTTTCCCAGATATAATTTCTGTTGTCTCTGTATTTAAATAGCTTTGCACTTGCTCCTCTCAGAAATTTTACTTGTGCGAACCATTTTCTATTAAATAAAACATTGGTTAAAGTTGTTTTAGCAGCATTTTCAAGGGGTGTTTTTGAGCAGATGTTTGGTGGGGATGTTACTTTGTATTGATCTTTGAGAAAAGAAATATGGCAGTGCTACAACTCATCAGCACTATTCTGAGCAACTTTTATTTCTTTAAAAACCAATACTTGCTTTAATTAATTGTTCCTTTGTTTGTTGATACTGTATTTTCTAATGTTTGAAATTTATTGTTTTTCTTTTGTCCTTGTTCAGAGTGAGGTAATGGAGGCTTTGCCCAAACTCATCAAGTTGAATCCCATGGTAGTAAAGGAAGTGTTCAACCGACTGATGGGAAGCCACGGTAAGCTTTTGTTTTTGCTCTCAATTTTTTTTTTCCTTCATGATTTCTACCCATAGATGAAATGGACCCTCGTGAAGAGGGACGAGGAAGCATAGATAATCCCGTCTTCCTAAGACCCCTGTTCTAGATTTTCAAGTAATTCAAGCCGTAGATTTTGTGGTAAAAAAGAGCACTCTGGTGAGCTCCGCTCATTCTTCTTTCTCTGAGTATTCTTGTTCTCCTCATCTGCTCTTGATGAAGTGTGGCAAACTCTGCTCCTCCAATATTGGTCTCACTTGGCCGTATCAGAAGCCGAAAAACCATCTTTATCCTTATTCTCCTGTACAGATATATTGGTCATCGTCAGACATTGTGGGTGGTTGGCGGGTGCTCTGGTGTGGTTTCTTCCTTCTTTCCTATCAAACATCTATTGTCCTGGTCTCTCCTCCTTCTTTTTTGTGTTTGTTACTCTCTTGTAACAGCTCTAATCTTCGGCACTTGTATGACCTTATTGTGTTGCAGGTGCCGTAAAACATTTACTAAAACTAACGTAAAGGTCAGACATTGACTGACAAAGTATTCTTATTTTAACCAGAAAGCAAGTGAAAAGCGTGTGTATCTCATGTAAAGTAAGGCTTTTATCTGGAACACAGACTGACAGTGACAGCATAAATGTCTTCCTTTGAGTGTAGATCGTCTCTAGTGCCTTGTACCCATGTCATATGTTGTGTTTGTGTGTTTCCTTTTGCAGTGAGCAGTGACTCTGTGTACCACTCACCTTTGACCCCAGTGGAGCTCCTGGTGGCTCTGCACAACATCGACTCCACCAAATGTGACATGAAGACCATCATCAAAGGTAACATTTTACTGTTGAGACCTGAAAAGTAGAACACTGGTACCATAATGGACTACTGTAAAACCCTGAAACATCAAACACTGGTTTCACACACTGGACTACTGTAAAAACCATAAACATCAAACACTGGTTGTGGGTGGTTGGTGGGTGCTCTGGTGTGGTTTGCTTCTTCTTTCCTATCAAACATCTATTGTCTTTATCTCCCCTCCTTCTTTTTTGTGTCTGTTTCTCTCTTGTAACTTCTCTAATCTTCGGCACTTATATGACCTTATTGTGTTGCAATTGCAGTAAAACACTTACTAAAACTCGATTACCTTTGTATCTGTTTTTGAGTGGGTGGTCGATGGATACTCTGATGCGATATCGACTCCTTCTACATCTTTCCAGTGTTTCAACATTGCTGTTCTATTTGTGTCCAAATGTGGCAGTTGTTTTGCAGTGGTTACCTGCCACCACAAACACACTGCTCAGCAAGGCGCTCATTTTTTATTTCTCTTTTACTTCTTTACTCTCCTTATGTTTCTGTCTTTCATGCTTTTTGGGAGGGTGGTTGGAAAGCACCACTGGTAGGTCCTACTTCTTTTCTTTCCCTCTGTTTTTTCTGTTTGTCTTTTTTGCTTTTTCCCAGCACTAAATGATGGCCATTGTGTTGGTTGTTCTTCTCTTTATGTGTGGAAACAAATGGGACAAATTGCCTTTTTCCCCAGTTCTTTATGACTATTCATCTCAATGTGCTTCGCTTTACTTAGAAACAAAACCAATAATTGTGGGTTGTTGGCGGGTACTCTGGTGTGGTTTGCTTCTTCTTTCCTGTCAAACATCTATCGTCCTTATCACCCCTTCTTCTTTTTTATGTTTGTTACTCTCTTGTAACACCTCTAATCTTCTGGCGCTCATATGACCTTATGCAGTTGCGATCGTCGTAAAACCTCTACTAAAACTTTAAAAAACCCAATAATTTTTTTCATTCTGCAATTTTGGTTTCTCCCAGCGGCCAACCTGTGCTTCAGCGAGCGTAACATCTACACGCAGGAAGTGCTGGCCATCGTGATGCAGCAGCTGATGGAGCAGGAGCCGCTGCCCACTCTGCTCATGCGCACGGTCATCCAGTCGCTGTCCATGTACCCGAGGCTCATCGGCTTTGTGCTCAACATCCTGCAGAGACTCATCGTGAAGAAGGTAGGGCTTGTTCTGTTCTCTGTTGTGTGTGTGTGTGTGTGCTGTTGTTGTTTGTGTTCCAGCGTGGGTAGTTGGCGAGTGCTCTGGTGTGGTTTGTTCCTTCTTTCCTATTAAAAAAAATCTATCTTCCTTATCTCCCCTTCTCCTTTTTTATGTTTGTTACTCTCTCTTGTAACACCTCTAATCTTCTGGTGCTCATATGACCTTATGCAGTTACGAGCGCCGTGAAACCTCTACTAAACTAAATAGTCTAAAAATGAGCTTGAGCTACTGAAGGAGTCAAGTTTCTGTGCTGGTAGAACGCTTTGGGTGATCATGAATATTCTGATTCTTAGGGAAAGGTCTGAGTGGTATCATATCATGGCCTTCCACTTAGCATGATAATGATATGTATGTGTGATAAACTGGCTTTCAGTATGCTGCTGAGCGGAAGGCCATGAACCAAATTACTGGGGTGGGGATTATTAATAACAGTGACAACTGCAGCTGATGCAAACCCAAAAAGTACTGTTAGGAGTACTCCAACACATCGGGGAATGACAGGTGTGTTTGATACTCCCATAATTCCGGTAAACTGATATAACGCAGGGGCAAAATTAGAGATATCAGTTGCGGAATGGCAAATTGTATGAACTATCTGTAATTTCAAGTTGTCCGTGTTCTTGTTATCTGTGCCTGACTGCATAGATTTTTTACCCTGTTCGAAGAGACTGTACTCAGAAAGGATAAAACATTAGCAGTGGGTGGTTGGCGGGTACTCTGGTTTGGTTTGCTTCTTCTTTCCTATCAAACTTCTATCGTCCTTATCTCCCCTTCTTCTTTTTTATATTTGTTACTCTCTTGTAACATCTCTAATCTTCTGGCGCTCATATGACCTTATGCAGTTGCGAGTGCCATAAAGCCTTCACTAAGACTAAAACAAAAAACAATCGTTAACAATTATGTCTCACAGGTGGCAATCGATTGACGAAATTAAGACTGCCTCACTACTGGATCAATGACCATTGTGAAACAAGTGGTGCAACATAACAATAACCATCTAATTTTTTTCTGCCCTGCCCCCCCCCAATCCCCAATCCATGTAGGTGTGGAAACAGAAGAAGGTTTGGGAAGGGTTCATTCGGTGCTGCCAGCGCGCCAAGCCGCAGTCGTTCCAGGTGCTGCTACAGCTGCCGGCCACCCAGCTCAAGGAAGTGTTTGAGGTGTGCCCGGACCTGAGGGAGCCCTTGCTGGCCCACGTGGAGTCCTTCACGGAGAACCAGGTACGTGTGTGTGGTGTGTGTGTAAAGAGTTGGTGAGTTGGAGTGTAGTATGTGTTTGTAGTCAGTCACTTTTGTCTGGCTGTATTATAGATATGGCCTTTTTAATAATCTTTGCTCCTGTGGGTGGCTGGCAAGATGCTCTGATTTGGTTTGCGGTTCCCTCTATTCCGTTCCCAAAAAGATATGTCACGATGCGGTTATTACATGATTCTGATCAAAATCAGAATCCTGATTGTTACCACTACATCCTCCTTTCTATATTTTTATGATTACTTCCCTTTGTTTGAAAAGGCAGGAAACTTTCTTTTTAGATTGGACATTCCTCACTGTTGCTCCTGTTTATTCATTTTGGAATTGGGGGAGAGAACAGATTTGAGTGTATTTTGAGAGTTCAGGGCATGTTTTGTTCATCTTGTTATCTTGCGTGATTGGCGGGTACTCTGGTGTGGTTTGCTCCTTCTTTCCTATCAAACATCTATCGTCCCGATCTCTCCTTCTTTTTTATGTTTGTTACTCTCTTGTAACACCTCTAATCTTCAACAATTATATGACCTTATTGTGTTGCAAGTGCCGTAAAACTCTTACTAAAACTAGACTCGTCTTGTTATCAGAGAAGTAAGTTGAAGGGCAAGAAGATCTCAAATGACTGCTGGTTATTGGAAAACTTTAACAGTAAAATAAGTAAAAGAAAGTCATCAGACAAGGACAGATTGAAGAAGTAGATTTGCCTGGAGTATGAAGACAAGACTAGCTTTTTGTTGTTTTATAAATCTAGAAAAAAGAAGATCCAGGTTTGATGGGTGGTTGGTGGGGGCTAATGGGTGGCTGGCGGGTGCTCTGGTGTGGTTTGCTCCTTCTTTTCTTTATTTCTATCAAACATCTTTCGTCCTTATCTCCTTTTTTTTGGTGTGTTTGTTACTTTCTTATAACATCTCTAATCCTTATCTCTAATATGACCGAGTTGTGTTGCAAGTGTTGTAAATCTCTCACTAAAACAACAGAAAAAAACAAAACGATCCAGGTTTATATTGTTATCATCCCCTCTCTCCCATTTATACGCATATGTAACAGAGTTGCAGTTATATGTTTTTAAAGTTTATGTGACCAAGCTCATTTAATATATATTTGCCTAGCTTTTCAAAGTGAGTTTCTAAGCTTGCTTTTATGTGATTCTGCTCAACCCTGATTGTTACCGCTACATCCTCGCTATATTTTTATGATTACTTCCCTTTGTTTGAAAAGGCAGAAACCCTTCTTTTTAAATCAGCTCTTTAAAAACCTACTTTAACCTTGTCTTTCCCCCGTCTCCCGTGTGTTTAGGCTTTCCATTAAGCTTCTTCGTAGCATGATGAGGATGTCTAGTGGTGTAGTGGGGACAAGATACATCAAGTTTCACTGTAAATGTTTTCCTTTTGCCAGAAATCTCACATCAACAAGGCTGTGATGGCCGTCCTGGAGCAGGGTTCGGAGACACTGACTGAAGTGAAAGACGGGGAAAAGAACATCACTGTAAGTCTGGGAAAACCCGAAGTATCAGGATATATGTGGAGGTGTTTCACAGTGTCTCTGTGTTGATTTGTACAAGGTTTCAAGCACTTGCATTGTAGTCATCTGTATGAGTTTTCATTCATCTGAGCTGTGATATTTTCTCAGTCTGGTGTGTGTGTGTGTGTGTATTTGTGTGGTGTAATCGTTAGGCTCTTTGCCATTTTACTCCAAAGGTGTGAATTCGATATTAACGAGTACCTCAGTACCTCTGCTGTGATGTTGTAACTCATTCAGCCCTGGGTTATCCCTGACTGGTAGGATGGAAGCAGCCCACCTCCTAAATTGTCTTAATAAATATGTCAGTGGGGTCTTAAAACATTTGCAATCATATTTCCTCACCACCTCAGTCATCTTCAGCTTGTATGATCTGTTGATGTTGTCCATGTGTGACAAATTTTACTTACTTGCCCTGCATGACCCACATATTTCCATTTTCTCCCTTAAAAAAAAAAAATACTCTTGAGCAGTTCAAATAATATTTATTGTAGTTGTACTTGAAAATATCTTTGGTGTTTCTTTCCCCCAGGCGAGCAATGGAAATGACAGAGAAGAGGAGCCGGCCACTCAAAAAAGTCAAAAGATTGACAGTGTGCCTAATGAGCCTGTACAGAAAATCTCCACCGTGACGGCCGCGAAGAAGACTGAGCTGGCTTCTGTTAAGATGTGAGATGTGTTGATGATTTGTACATTAACTAGTCCCTTTTTTTTAAATTTGAAAAGTAAAATTAACATTTTTTTGTTCTTTTAATCGTTTTTCTCTCAGAATTGTATTTTTAAATGGACATAGAAGGTGTTGAGCCAAAAAAACAAAAGTTCAATAAAAATTGCCAAACTACTGAAAAAATGGATATGTTTTCTATTTTTTACTACTAAAGTGGCATTCACTTTTTCTGACCTGGTCGGTGGTCTTGATAGGTATGGTTTTGAAGTTGTTTTATTATTATTATTTTTTTCTGAAGTGGTATTCTTTTTTATTTTTTCAGATCCGATCTTGACAAGACAGGCGGTATGAAGATTTCAGTTCAAAGTGGGGAGAAAGATGTGGAATCAGCGAAGGAAGTCAGAAGTGAAGAGAGTGAGGCCAGTAAGGAAAGACGCAGAGAGAGAGGAGACAGTAAAGAGAGGAGGCGAGGAGACAGAGAAGGCAGCAGAGAGAAAAACAGGGAGAAGGAGAAGGAGGGCAGTACTGACAAGGACTCGAGAGACTCCTCAAAAAAGACCACGAGCAAGGTAAAGAGAGTGCGTTACTAAGAGAGAGAGAAAGAGACATGGAGAGGAAAGATTGCTATTGGAAGCGTATGCTACTCTTGTTTGTATTATCGTGGTGCGCATTGAGCACTTTCATAGTGGAAATGTGCTATATGAGGGAAGTTTATTATTATTATTATTATAATTGCTATTTTATTAGTATTATTGGTATAATAATAATAGTAATAATAATATTAATAATAAAAATGATAAATTTGTCGGTACTGGACACTTGGTTCTCATGGATTGACATGTTTTCCAGTATATATTTTAAGTTAAAAAAAAAAACAACAGCCCATAAATAAAGCTTTTCTTTTAGTTCCTCAGTCTTAAGAATGTCCTTGGTGTGGAAATCACAGTTTGTTTATTTCGACGATTTTACTCCCTTTTTTTTGTATATATGAGATATCGTATAAAGTAGTTGTTAACTCTGCTGGTCAGATATAGCCGGCGTGGTGCACACCATTACGAATGTTGCTGGCCGTGTCTGGCCAGTGCCGTGTTCTGCTAACATTTCAAGATATCATAAAGTGGTTCCCTGATGAAGTGATTGCTCCTGACTTCCGCAGAGTTCCAGAAAAGACGACACTGATGCCGAAGACTCCAAGACCAAATCCTCGAGTTCGTCGTCTCGCTCGACAAAAACGACCAGCTCCTCTTCCTCCTCATCGTCTCGTAGATCATCGTCGACTACTAGTAGAAAGAAATAGTCAATGTTGTGAATTTGTACATTTTAATGTTGTGTGTTGTGCTGGGTTTTTTGTTTTTTTGTTTTGTTAATTCAAATTTTTGGTTAAACTTTTTTTTTTTTTTTGAAATTCTTTCCCTTTTCTTCATCCCCATATTGGGCCACTTTAATTTTGGAAAAACATTCTAAAAAGTGTTATACTATAAATGGCCACATTCAGCATTTGACGAGTTATGACCCTGTATCATACCAGAGTAATTTTTCCCGAATTAAAAATAATAATATGAGGAGGGACTATCTTGACCAAGGGATGGAAACTAAGGTCTTCCCTTCCTCCTTCCTCGTTTGAGAGTTGTCCGCTTATAAAATAATAGCTCTGTTATCGAATGTTGTGTAATTTTTTTGTTCTTCGTTGCTCTCTGTGCCAGTTACATTCTGATTTTGAAATAAGTTTTGTGTACATAGCAATCACAATATAATAGGTGTATTTACTCAAAAATAAGTTTTGTGAATAGTCACTTCCCTTATTTGTTAGTGATCGTTCTATGATTGATTATGATGACTTCTCTCCTGTTAATGTCATCTCAGTATCTCAAATATTTTTTTTGCTTTATTTGTGTAGAAAATTTCAATGAAGTTTTGGTTCTGAACTGCGTTTATTCTTGTGAGTTGGTACGTACTGTCAAAGGTTGTCGAGAAGTGTACAGAAGTGTTTAGTGTGTGTGTTTGCGTGAGCCCGTGTGTATAGGTGTGAGTGTTTGAAGGACCAGATGCTAGTGCAAATAATAAAATTGTTTGCTTATGTTTCAAGGGTTTTTCTTATCTTCGATATAATGAGTCTGAGATTATTATTTTTGTTTTCCCCCAAATATAGCAATGTATTTGCTGTGGCCTGTTGGTTCTCTGAAGTTTCATGTGTGAAATAGGTTGATGTATTCACACAGCGATGATGTTGTCAGCTGTTGTGATGGGCTTTCCTGAAAGGGAGAAGTGGGTGGTTGACGGGTGCTCTGGTGTGGTTTGCTCCTTCTTTCCTATCAAACATCTATCGTCCTTATCTCCCCTTCTTTTTTATGTTTGTTACTCTCTTGTAACACCTCTAATCTTCTGGCGCTCATATGACCTTATGCAGTTGCGAGCGCAGTAAAACCTCTACTAAAACTAAAACTGAATGGGAGAAAGGCAGGGGTGTGATTACTTAGGTTTCATGGAAAGTAATGAAAGCCTGTGGAAGCGTTTTTGGCCTGTGAGACATAGTGTTTTGGATTTGAGCAAAAGGGGTACTCACTGTATTATGGATTTGCAGCTTGAAAAACTATTTCGATTTAGTGCAAAGTGGCTTGCATAATGTATGGTTGTTATCCTCATTGATTCTCTACTTTAGAGAAGAAAGAATGTGTTATTAATTAAATTTGTTTTGAAGAGTTTGGTGTACGTTAGGCTCACAAGTGTCTGTGGTGTAGTGGTACTTCACCCATGAGATCTGAGTTCAATTCCTGAATCGGGAGGTGTTTTACTACAAATTCAAATATATCCTTCTGTCAGCTGAAATGTTCTTTCCCTCTCAATCAGAGTCAGAGTTAGCTCTGATGGGCAGGGGTCGGAGCAGCCTGCTTCTTGAATGTTCTAAATTATGTCGGTTGTGGCTTGAAACATCTACTCTCTCTCTCTTTTTTTCCCTTTTTAACTCCACTGGAGCATAGGCCATCAACAACATTTCTCCCACTGAAGCCTGTCCTGTGCATCCTTTTCTAGCTGTTTCTATGATGTCCCCGCTTTTTCCATTTCCGCTTGTACGGCTCGCCTCCATGCCATCTCTGGTCTTCCTTTCTTATGTTTTCCTTGTGGATTCCCCATCAAAGCCTGTCTGATGATGCTTGTCGGGGGTCTCCTCTGGGTGTGCCCAATCCATTTCCATTTCTTCACCTGAAACATCTCATCTACAATGACAATTATATTACGTTTTGTCTGTGCTGCGAGTCATGAGTCACACGATTGTTGTGTCTGTCACCCATGGCCCATATGGAGCAGCCGTGTGGGTGTTTGGTGGGTGCTCTGGTGTGGTCTTCTCCTTTTTTCCTATATATCAAACATCTATCGTCTGTATCTCCCCTCCTTTTTTGTGTTTGTTACTCCCTTGGAAAACTTCTAATCTTCAGCACTTATACAACCTAATTGTGTTGCAAGTGCCGTAAAACTCTTACGAAAAAAAAAAAGGAGCAGCCGTCGTGATCCCTTGATTGTCCCCTCTCTCTTTGTTGGGCCAAGTCATCAGTAACTAAACCACATGTCTGACTGTTGAAGAGGCTGAGAATCAAAAAGTTTTGTTTTCGTGTGTTTGTGTGTGTGGGCTTTGTTTTGTTTTTTTGTTTTTTGTTTCTTTAATATTGATTCACTGTAAAACCTGTAACAGGGTTTTGAGGTTTAAAAAATATTGTTTTTTTAAACTTGCTTTTTTTTTTTTTTAGGGCACATGGTTGACTGAATTTAAGTACATATTAAGGGTTGTTGAGCAGTACAAAAATTATTTTTTGTTTAAAGAAAAAAAAAATTGGTTCCTGCATTGTTTTTCTGTGTCGCTTTGGTTGCTTGACAAGCTATGATGGAATGTGATGTTTGTTCCTTTCTATAATGCCATTCCATGTCTTTCTCTGATATAATATTTTTGTGTCAGTGAATGTGTGTTTGTGTGTGTGTGTTGGTGCTTGTGTGTGTGTTGGTGCGTGTGTCTGTGTGTGTGTGGAGATGCATACATTTGCCTTTACTCATATGAATGGCTTTCCATGAATGCGTGAATACATTTTTTTTTGTTTTTTATCATCTTGTGTTGAGTTATAGTCTTGTGTATATATTGCTCATATTAATTGTGTGCATCGATTAATTGTATAGTTTGGAAAGTCGAGCGCTTGTGAAATCAAATGTATTGAATTATTTGGGTTATTTCTTTTTGTTACTTTGTCTTGTCCTTTGCTATTTGATCTCAGTATTCTCAGTTGGAGAGTGTTTCCTTTGGTTTCAGAGATTTCTCCGACTGTAGCAGACCAGGTATGCCAGATGGGGAGGAGAAACAAGTAGTTCAGGGGCGTAAGGGTGACTAACTGAAGGACTTTGCTCGAGATATCGGGAATAATATATAAATATCGACCAAACCAGATTTAGTTGTTTGATTTTGTCACCTTTCTTTTGAGATGTAGTTACCTGTATTACCTGTCCTGGGCAACAACGTCATGGCACACCGGACAGGTCCATATTAAGTACTCAGTTCCTCCCAGCACCAAAGCCCGCAAGGTATTCATAGAAGTGTGAGATTTAGTTTGCTATTTTTAAGCGTGAAAATTATGGAGAAAAAAGTTTGTGACATGACACAAGTATGTCTGAGCAGAGCCTGCTTTTACCCACCGTGCGTTTAGGTACGTTGCTTTATGTTTTGTTGATGGTTGTTTGGATAGGAACGAATGAGAAAATTATTTATGCAAATTTTAAGTGTATAATATGTTGAAAAGACCATAGCCGTGTAAGTGCAGTGTTTTAATAAGAATCTTTTGCTGATTGCCATTGTAAGGGCTTAGAATTTATGAGTATGATGAGTATTTGGAGGGCCTTACTAGTTTAGTAGGTCCAGGGTCTTTTTTGTTCCTCTTTTGTTTCATTGTCTATTTTGCTTTTCCCAGTTGCAAGCGCCGTAAAACCTCTACTACAACTACAACTGCTTTTTCCCAGGGCAATGTGACTGTTGTTGTTGTGTAGATGTGCTTCTCTCACATAAACTCATAAACTAAATACACGAAAGGCATAGATTTAGAGGCTCAACGAATGCTGATTAAAATTCCCCTCAGAATGTGAGGGCTACCATGTGCGTTGTTAATGTTCACGGTGAATACTCAGTAGAGTTAAAAATCTTCACAGGGTTGTATTTTGAATCGAGGGCTTTACTTTAAGTCTTTGAGTTGTTCTTTTGCCTTTTATGTACTCTGTGTTAATTGGGTGCTTGCTTTTGTTCTGTCCTCTTTGTTTGATGCAATGTACGATGGTTATGCTAGTAGGTTGGCTGTGGATGATATTGTGGTTGGTGAATGTGGAAACTGATGTTGGGGAGTGAATGGCTTGAGTTGCGGTGTGTTATTTTGGAGTCGCACTCATTGGTTAAGATGAAGCCCACAGCTTTGCAGTGATCAAGTGAAATAAATAAAGCAAGTGTTTTTTCAATGTTGTATTTTCAATTGAATGCAAATGCCCCAGATGAAAATTGTTTTTCTCCTTTTACAGTACAGTATGCGTTATACTTTTTAAAATGATTTCTTCTGAAATTTGGTAGTCATTTGTATGGGAACTTGGAAAATAATGTTTTTATTTTCCCTTTGGTTATAATTTATACTTTTGATCTGTGGAGATTTTTTTTTTCAGATTTTCTTTTTTAATGAAATGTAAATATTAAGCGGAGCAGAGAGAGTACGTTGCAAGCTGTTAGCTGGAAGATTGACTGTCCTTATTTTGAAGGAAATGGAAGAAAAAAGTGGAGGATGCTGCGGGCCCTATTAGTTTTGTCTCAACAGATTTATTTTTTTTGAACAGCTGAAACCAAAATGGAGTAACTGCATATATTTCATTTTATGAGGTCATTGACTGTAGGTGTTGATCTTTGAACCTGATGAAGTAGAGCAATGGTGAGGGAGAGATTTGGGTCAACACCCAGTCAGTTTAGTAATGTCCCTACATCTCCACCCCCCCCCCCCCCCCCCCCCCCCCCCCCCCCCCACTCTCTCTCATATTAACATAACTGCCAATAATTTCCAAGCATAAGACATAAGGATGACAGAATGATGTAAGAAATTTTCGTCTCATTGATTCAGCTCAGGTTGGGACCAAATAAGGCAAGTTGAAATCTTTAAAAATCGCATCGGACGAACTGATCTTGTAGTTAGCATGAGCACCATGTGGTGAGTGGAATGGTTGAGAGGATGAGTAGGTGGACCTGATCATCAGAATACTTGCGTCGGTTCCTTGTCAATCATCATGTCACTCACTGGAGGCCAATGTTTATTTGGCTTCCTTTAACCCTATCCGTATGTCGTATTTTACTATCGTATCCATACAATGTGGGGAACTCTGTGCCACCATTTCTAAAGAGGAAATTTACTTGTTAATCCGATCGGTACGCTTTGCATAGCAGTCTTTCAAAATGATTTTTGAGAAATACTGAAAGTTTCAAAGAGATCTTCGTACTGAAAGTATTCTAAAATGTGGAGAATACAACCCCGGGGGTACAAAATGACCCCAGGGCGTACAGATAGGGTTAACATTAGCAGGTTGATTTTTCCAACCATGATTCTGTTATCGACCCAGTAACTTTCTGAGTTTTTTCCTATTGTTCCATTTGTTAATGTTAGGAGAGAATGATGACTCGTTCTATATTGGTGGTGTTATGGTCAATCTAGGTAACTAATTTCTTGAAGATTTTTCAATTGAAAAAAAAAAAGTGTTTTTCCATTTAAAAGATGGAAGTAGGCAAAAAGTCAGCTCCTCCACCCCCACCCTCACCCTACCCCCCTTCCTCCTGGTACTTTAATGCTGTTTATAGTATATCCCAATTACTGAGTTTTACTGAAGACCCACAGACTGACCTTTGCAATGGATTTAGAATTTTAAAAAATTAATTGTGAGGTGTGCTTACAAAGTCAGTTACTTCTTGTAATCCACAAATTGAGATATTGCCCAAAAATCGACGCAAGGGTCAAATTTGTAGAATTTTTATTAATGCCATTTTCTTTTACTAAAACATGCCTTTTATTATTTCATACTAATAAGCTGTA